TGGGCCAAGGACCTGAACAGACACTTCTCAGAAGAGTATATACAATCAATCAACAAATATACGAAAAAATGCTCATCATCTCTAGCAATCAGAGAAATGCAAATTAAAACTACTCTAAGATACCATATCACTCCAGTAAGAATGGCAGCCATGATGAAGACAAACAACAACAAGAGCTGGCGAGGATGCGGGGAAAAAGGTACACTCATACATTGCTGGTGGGACTGCAAATTGGTGCAGCCAATTTGGAAAGCAGTATGGAGATTCCTTGGAAAGCTGGGAATGGAACCACCATTTGACCCAGCTATTCCTCTTCTTGGACTATACCCAAAGGACCTAAAAACAGCATACTACAGGGACACAGCCACATCAATGTTTATAGCAGCATAATTCACAATAGCTAGACCATGGAGCTAACCTAGATGCCCTTCAATGGATGAATGGATAAAAAAAAAGTGGCATTTATGCACAATGGAATATTACTCAGCACTAAAAAAATAATAAGATCATGGCATTTTCAGGGAAATGGATGGCATTAGAGCAAATTATGCTAAGTGAGGTTAGCCAATCCCAAAAAAACAAATGCCGAATGTCTTCTCTGATATAAGGGGGGTGACTCAAAATGGGGTAGGGAGGAAGAGCATGGGAAGAAGATTACCTCTAGATAGGGAAGAGAGGTGGGAGGGAAAGGGAGGCAGAAGGGGAATTGCATGGAAGATGGAAGGAGATCCTCATCTTTATACAAAATACATGTATGAAGATGTGAGAAAAAAAAAGAATAGCGTTACCTTAGATTAGGTAGAGAGAATTGATGGCAGGGGAGGGGAGGAGATGGGGGGATAGGAAGGATAGTAGAATGAAACAGACATTGTTATTACTGTGTGTATATATGTGATTGCATGACCAATGTGATTCTGCAACCTGTATACTGAGAAAAATGAGAAATTATATCCCATCTGATTCAAATGTATGATATATCAAGGTCATTGTAGTGTCATGTGTAACTAATTAAAACAAATAAAAAATTAAGAAAAGAAACTAATATTTTAGTTGATGTGTATTTTAGAAGACATTCAAGTGAAATATTTAATTTAATAATTGAATAATAATGATGTAAGTATTTAAAATTGCATACCAAATATATATTGTTGTAAGACTTGTCTTTTCCATGTTCTTAATGTAAATAAATCTGTTTTTGTTTTAATAGAGTGCCCGAGAATAGAGAAATGAAGTTTTTCAAAGAAATGTGTTAATATACACTTAACCAATATTACATGATCATCTAAACCAGCTTAAGCCAGAAACAGATGAGTTTTGCAGTACATTTGATTAAAATTTCTCTAATAAATGTGATTTTTTTCCCCAGTGTGCCGCAATCTGGTTGGGCACAAAATAACGGAGCCACCACAAAAGCCTTGTAGATTCAAACAGCAACTCTTTATTCCCAAACTCTCACTGGCACTCTACACACACTACTTGGGAATACACTCCCTCCACCGGGCTCTGCGTACCAAATCTCCCAGAACCCGGCGAGAACTCAACGGGAACTCCAAAGGAGCGGGCGCCTGAGGCAGCAGGATATGCCCTAATCCTGGAGCCCCCCTATTCCCAGCAGGATCCACCCTAAACCCGGAGCCACCCTAATCCCTGAGCAGGGTCACCTTTCAACCCAAAATGCCATGTGTCATTCCTACTTGGCTATGGCTCTCAGCACCAGTGAAACTTTATGTTGGATAATTCTGAATACTAGATATGATTAAAAAAAAGTAAGTCCAGATCCCATGAGGCACAACTGAGAAATCAACTGGCTTTGTTTTTTTTAGTATACAAGTTAATTTACAGCACTAAGATGCACATTGTGGGCATATAGTTACATATGGTTTTATAGACATCTAGGGCCAATCATCATTCTTGAGTATATTTATAGTTGATGAGAACAGTATGTCACAGATTCTGGATGTGTTTTTATTTTTCAAGTAATTTGTGAACTGATACATTTTCTAAAAGAAAAATGTGTACGTCAAAGACAGGAGGCACACACACATTCATTTATTATAAGTATTAATGCATATTGATTGTACAAAGTGATGGAACAGTGACGTTTCCATACATGTATATATTGTGCTTTGATCATGTCCACCCTCTCTTTTACCTTTTTTTTTTGCTCTCCCTTTTCTCCCTATCACCCTCCTTCTCTTTCTCTAATAGTCCCTCTTGTATTTCTAAGTTAGTTTGTTTGTTTTAGTTTCTGCATATGAGAGAAAATGTGATACTTGTCTTTCTGTGTGTGGCTTATTTTGCTTAAAATGATGTCCTCCAGTCCTGCCTAGCTTCCTGAAAATGACAAGATTTTATTCTTCTTTTTGGCCAAATAGTACTACATTTTGTGTGTGTGTGTGTGTGTGTGTGTCTTATACTTCATGCATTCATCTGTTGACAGGCAGTTCACCTGTTGACAGGCACCTGGGCTGATTACATATCTTGGCTATAGTGAATATTGCCACAACATGGATGGCTATTTGGGTTCCTCTTTTGCATTCTGACTTCATTTCCTTCTCATAATAGCCAGGAGTGGGTAGCTGGATCATATGGAAGTTCTGTTTTTAATTTTTAAGGAACCTCTATACTGCTTTCCACAGTGGCTGTACTAATTTACAATCCCATCATCAGTGTATAAGGGATTCTTTTTCTCCATATACTTGCTAGCTTTTGTTATTTTTTGATAATAGCCATCCTGAATGGGGTGAGATGGAATCTCAATGTAGGTTTGATTTGCATTTCCTCTAACAGCTAAAGGTTCTGAGCATTTTTTTGTCTTATATTTATTTGCCATTTTGTATTTTGTCTTTTGAAAAGTGTCTATTTGGATCATTTGTCCATTTTTTTTTTTTGCTAGGATAACTTGTTCTTTTGTTGTTAAGTTTCTGAATTCTTCATATATTCTGGATATTAATCCTCTGTCAGATGAATAGCCAACAAAGATTTTTCTCACATTTTGAAGATTGTCTTTTCACTCCATCGACGGTTTTCTTTTCGGTGCAGAAGCTTTTTAATTTGCTGTAATCCTGTTTGTCAATTCTTGCTTCGTTTCCTGAGTTATTAGAGTCCTATTCAGGAAATTGGTACTGGTGGCAGTATCTTGAAGTGTTTCTCCTGTTTTTTTCTAGCAGTTCCAAAGTTTCATTTCTTAAATTACGATCTATCCAGGATCACACAAAAGAAAACAAAACAAAGCAAAAAGATCATTGATCCATTTTGATTTTTTTTTTTTTACAGGGTAAGAGATAGGAGTCTAGTTTCCATCTTCTACATTTGGATATTCAGTTTTCTTAGCACCTTTTGTTGAAGAGGCTGTTTTTTTTTTCTTCCTGTAATGTAAGTTTTTTTAAACACTTTTGTCAGGAATGAGTTGACTGTAGATATGTTGGTTATTTCTGGGTCCTCTGCTCCATTCCATTTCTCTACATGTTTGTTTTCATCCCGGTGTGCCTCTGCATGTCCCTGAGGGCAGAGGGAGGCTATGGAATCTCAAAGATTTATGCTGGGGGCATGATGGTGGTGGGTTCTGTGCAATTCTCCATCCAGTTTTGGTGTTTCCAGTCCTTACTTCCCACCCCATGCCACCATGTGCAACTTCTTACTTTCCCAGACTCTAGTAGCTGGCTTGTCAAAAGGAGGCATGTTCTGTCTCTTCTGCCCTGATTCTCAAAGCATTGACCTCAGACCATAGGGCCCTTCCCAAAATGGCAGAGAACTTCTCCAGAGCCAGTTCATCATGCATATGTTTAGTCTGTGTTTCTAAAGGGTGCTGAATCCTGAGCCAGTGGTGTTCACTGGGACTCTTCCTCTTTCTCCTCTCCTCTTGCCAACCCCATCCCTGCCATGCTTCCATGCAGTTGGTGCTTTTCATTCTGTTTCACTCTCTATTCACTTCTCTTCCACTATCCAATGTCTCTGTGTTTCTCCAACTGTCTTGGAGAGACTAGTCTGTCCACTGTTGAACTCGGGTCACCTATCTCACTGAGCAGCTACATTGTAGTTGTTTTCATTCTGTCTCAAGGAGATACAGGCAAGTTCTTGTTGCTTTTTATCTGCTATCTTTGGAAGCATGTGTATTATCTTTGGCATGTATTTTTTTTTCTAGAATACCCAAGGAGATGATGAGCATTGAAAAATATTAGCTGCTTTAATATCGTCTGTAATGAAATAATGAAGAACAAATAAACTTTTAAACATATTGATGACACATCTTTATAGTATTTACCATGTGTGAGAAGAGAAGATAGTGGTCAAGAAAAGGAATGAAGGATTAAAAAAATGAATTTGAATTATTCAGAATATCTGTGGAGATTATATTATTGTCCACTGGTTAACTTTAGGACCCAGTTCTATTCTGCATTCCATTATTGTTTATTAGAGTGAAGGACAAAAATAGTTCTTTTCCTCTGCGTTTCCATAAAAGGAAATGCCTCATGACAAAGATTGTAGTGAAAGAGAGAGAGTGTTTTCAAAGAGCTGGAATGACTTCTGGAAAAGAGTTCTATTTTAAAATGAGCTACACTTATTAAATATAGCTGATTTGATTTAATTTTCTCAACAGTCTGTTAGATAAAGGGTGTTAATATTTTATTTCTCTTCAAAGGTCATCTTGTAAATTCACTTTGCATCTCAGCTAACAGTTCAGAAACAAAATAGTCTTATTATTCTCTTTCAAAATGTTAGACTCACATTCTAGCTTGGCTAATGGAGGTATATGCTGCATTATGTGGGATAGGACTATGGGTTTGCCTTATTCCACATGGATTTTGTGAACTTTGATTCTTGGACCATGCCATAATTTACTGGGATTTAATTTAATTGTGAGAGATTTGAAAGCTGTGACAAATTTATCTGATTCTAGAAGTTAGTACAATTAATTTCTTTCTAATTTTAAATTCAAAGACTTCCTAAAGAACTATAGCCCCTAATATGGTAGCTCAGCAGTTGTTCCTGTGTTCCAGGATCTGTGTTTAGCATGGAGAATGTGTACCTTAAGACACTTTGCAAGCTGTCTCAGAGAGGAAACAGGTAAGGGAGCCTTCTCTTATTTCATGTAAGTTGTGACATTTTAGGCAAAGACATTTTAGTAATTTTCTTAATTAAAAAAAATCAAACCTAAATTATTTCTCAGGCTCTGTGTAGAGGGAAGATGGGGACCAGCATCTGTAGGCATGTATCTTCTCAGACTCAAATCTAGTTCAGAAAAATAACCTATCTTCTGAAAATTAGCCCCAGTGCTGACCCTCACTGGCTTTCATTGGATCCATGTTCATTGCTGAACCAACTCCATGGTCAAGGGGATGGAATTTTTTAATTGTTTTCGGCTAAGTCATTGACCCATTCTTGGAGCTAGGATCAGCATCATCCCACCGAAAACACCTGTGAAGGAGATAATGCAAAACAGGCCGGTTGGTGGCATATTGATTATTTCATGCTGAAGTTACCTGAAGAGCTGGAGTGACAGAAGGGGCCATTTGACCTGATTTTCCCTAGATGCAGTTTCTTTTGAGAGAAATATCCTTCATATACCAGTTTGGAAATAGGTCGTGATTATCAGAGATTAATAATGGGGCTGCAATGAGCCTGAATAAGTAAAACCCTTGAAGTGACCCTTATCTCCCACAAGCTTCTCCTTCCTTTATACCTATACCACCCACCACAGATCTCTTTGTGACATCCCTTGAATTTGTTACCTTACTCAAAGTATCCATTTATCCTGTCCCATTCCTTCTTAGATGTTTTTTGTTATTTGCCTAAAAAGCATCATGTTCTGGTCATTTCTTCAGACCTTACTCTTTGTGATGATCCACTTGTACATCTAAAATTAATAATTCTTTTACACCTTCTCTTGTTAATTGGCTTTTGTATTAACTGGGTTCCTAAACCAGCCAATGAGTATACATAACACCTAAAGAGGAAGCATGATCTCTCTTTCCCCTACACAGGGGTTGAGAATGAGGGAGAAGTGCTTCACCAGAGGAAAAATAGATTACTGTTAGCAGAAAATGGGTAAACATAGACTGTGGCAAAAATGATAGTGTTCAGAATCACTGTATCAGTGACTTTGCATTTGGCTTGTGTATCTTTTTTTTTTAATAACCAAAACAGTAATTTCTCTTGGAGTAGCCTGTTCATTCAAAGGTGCAGTTACGTGATTGTAACAGAAGCTTAAAGTAACAGTGGCTTAAACGTGATGGAGGTTTATTTTCTCTGGAGCTGGGCTATCTGAGGTTGACACAGCATTTCCAAGACAAAATCAATGTCACTGGCATTGCCTTAGCTCCTGGAATCACATTTTCAGACCTTACTCTTTGTGATGATCCACTTGTACATCTAAAATTAATAATTCTTTTACACCTTCTCTTGTTAATTGGCTTTTGTATTAGTAGGGTTCCTAAACCAGCCAATGAGTATACATTGAAGAAAAATAAATAAGTGCTTTCAAGGTGTTTTTCTGGGAAGTCCTGCTTAACAACTTTAATTTCCACCTCATTGGCTCATCAGTCCCCATGTTCTTGGCCACATACACATGCATGCAAGGAAGTCTGGGAAAGGGAGTTATTTAAGCCATTCTAATAAGCCTCAACTGGTGGTTTGTTTGCAAGGACAATCTAGGAAATACCTACTAGGTAGGTGACTAGTAGTGTTAACTAAGTGCTGTTAACTAATATGGGTAGCACAGGAGGTTTATTTAACAATTCAATGAATTTTATAACTTAAAATTTAAAATTCATGAAAGCAGGTGGAAATACAATTATCAGAACTAATATATGCCCTGAAATTGGTACCAAGGTATACTTTGAGTATTAAACAGGAGTTCAACAGAAAATTAAAGATAACTCTGATGTATTTCTCTTGGATGCTTGACATTCCATGTTAGGTATATCATGATATCCTTTACCAAGATAGGAAACATAAAAGGAATATCAGGTTTTCAGAAAGAAGTTAAAGAGTTAAGTTTTGGATGTTTAAAACAGTAAATACTGGCATCAGATGACATTTGGTTGATGTCATCTGTTCACCAGCTAGGCAGCTGCACATTTTAATATCTATTGTGCATTATCTGGCAAACAACGCATGGCTTGCTATTTTAGAAATTTTCCACTTCTCTTGTTCCCTCTCTTCCATCTTGTTGGATTCCCTCTCTCCAGGACCTTGGTTATGCTAGGCAAGTACTCAGCTACTGAGCCACAGTTCTATCCCATACTTTCACATTTTGATCCAACTCTAGAAAGAGTTGGGTCCAAAGAACAGTCAGTTCCAATGCCATAGCTTAGAACAAGAGTTCTTTGTGTACTAAAGCATAGTTTGGGTGTTTGGAGGATATGAAGTTCAATTCTCCTAGTCTGGGTTCAGTATCTTGCAGGATGAGGGACTAGGAGGAGGCAAGTGGTTTGACAAAAGTAAGCAAAAATGAGGAAGTTAACTGATATCATCACATGAGATCTCTAGGGAGTAGATGCAATTTATTTTTAGGCTATTGGAGTACTATTTAGATATGAAATATTATATTCTAGGGGAAAATATTATATTCTAGGAGAAATGTATCCAGTCTTTCAGCTCATTTAAGCATTTGATAGATACATTATGAAATAATTTTGTCTTCTGTCAGTTTAAATAACTTAACTGTAACTCTTACTTACTTTGACCTTTTCCATCCATCATTTTTTGAGTGAGGTTTTTGCCTTTTTTATTATCCTATGTAGCAAAAATACAGACATTGATAAGGAAAAATGCTTCTAAGATATGCTGTGTTACCATTACCTTTTTATCAGTACCCCTGCTTTTTATTGTCACTCTAGGCTAAATTCTAAAGACAAGATACACTATAGACCTAAGTGTAGGTGATGTAGTTTAAAATCATAAATACTGAATAAATACTAAGCAAGCTTAGTGTTTGCCAACATTAATTCATTACAGAATGAATAAATAGTTCTGTTTGTTCTTCCAGAATATCACAATTGATTTATTATAGCTATCAGGTTTATAGAAGTGGTTGATCAAATGATACTTTCAAATATCTGGAAGAAACTACATCTTTAGCTATGGCTTTGGGGAATATGCCCAGCCGGAAAAGGAGGCAAGAGTTACTATGTAGGGGAGTAAGTAGTTTCTCTAAACCCCTTACTTTGTACAATGAGTGGTGTCAATGCGTTGTTGTTACTGGGGGCATTTGGGTGATGTCATTTGTTCACCAGTCATGCAGCTGTGCATTTTGAAGTCTATTGTCATTTCTTGGCAGATAGCACAAAAATAGGATCAGTTATGCTTTGGAAGGGACCTTTCTGTGGTCCCCATTTATAAAAATAGATGATTTCTTTATCCTTTATCTCCAATTACAAATTGGCCTTCTTTTTTGTAGGCATTTTTTCATTTTGATGCAAAGTACCAAGTCCTATCCTATTTCCTAGATGAGAAATCTGCAAGTCATTTGAGATTACTTTTCCTTTCTTGATCACTGAGTCCTGTTGCTATTTTGTAGTAGCAGTATTCTTCTCCCTGTGATCAAGCTCTTAGCATCTCCTTCCTGTACTTTAGAATGCCCTTCTAAGACTCTCTGTCTTCACTCCTGAACTCACAAGAACTATGTACTGTGTCAAAAGGAAATCTGGATTATGTTACTCCCCTTAGTGTCCTTTAGAGATGCCATAATGCATACAAGTTAGGAACACACTTAACTTTCCACCGTGTGATTTAGGACACAATATGTCTGAAAAGACACGCAATGGCTCAAGCAAAAGTATCATGGGTGTTTCATTCCCACCTGTTATTTCAAAAGGTTAACCTGTGATCAGTGTATACTTTTCTTTATATTAGGAAATATGTCTATGATATGTAGAAGAATACAGACGCTCACTCTGTAGACCAGGGCTGGCTATTTTGTCTTCCTCCTTCCTCTCAAGAGGCATCAGATTTGGTGTTTGTCATTCCCACCTAGTTCTTTATATTTTTGTTTCATATGTATTTTCTAAGCTAACTAAAACATTATGTATAGATTTGTAAATATATAAAACACACATATACTCACACACACAAACACACACATAACAGTTATTTAGATAGCTTTTATTCACTGTGTCCAAAATACCTGACAGGAAAAATTTAGAGGAGGGAAAGTTTATTTGGGATTAATGATTTCAGAGATCTCAGTCCATAGATGGCTGACTCCACTACTCTGGGCCCAAGGTGAGTAACATATAATGGATGAAGGGCCCAGCAGAAGAAAGATGCTCAGCTCATTGTGAGATCAGGAAGCAGAGAGAGAGTGTGTGTGTGGGGGAGGAGTGGGAAGGAGGTGTCACAAGGAAGATGAACTCTTTTAGGGCATGCCCCCAGTGACTCTCCTCCTCTAGCCATGCCCCACATGTGTACAGTTACCACCCAGTCAGTCCATTCAAGCTAGGAAGGACTGACTAGGTTATAGCTCTCATAATTCAATCATTTTACCTCTGAACATTCCTGTATGACAGGAGCTTTGGGGGGCATCTCATAACCAAACCATCTATCTATCTATCTATCTATCTATCTATTAATTATCTATCTAATGAAAACATCTCCACCATTCTTTGGTGGATATGTATTGTGATCAAGAAATATATCCTTAATTATTTTAAGTTCCTGAGATTTTTTTTTATTTTAAGGAAAATATACTCTGTTCTGACTAATAAAATTTGTTTTTTTGTGGGTTTTGAGAACTGAAAGTCATGCAAAAGGATAATAGTTATGAAAATGAGATGGGGAATAAGCTAGATTCCAAAATGTCACCTATGATGCTAGGTGACAAAAAGAGAACATAAAGGTTGATGGCTTTTGTTATAAATATGAAAATGTTGACACAAACTTTTATTATAGTATTTTACTTTTTTTGAATAGTGAAGTATGCACGGGGTACTAAAAGGTGTTCATACAGGCCTGTCTCCCTTGGCCCTTTCCCCAGCCATAGTAGGCCACTATTGCAGTCTGTATATATTCCATATATTCTTCTGTTGGATTACCCAAGTGGCAGTATAATAACCTTTTTTACTTTAAAAACATGAAAATAATAGATTGTAAACAGTAACATGTTTTCTTCTCAGAGATCCATGACTTTCCACTGCTTACTCCCAGCTATCATAACTGATATTTTTCAACTCATTGTCTTAGTCCATATGTTGTTACAACAAAATACCACAGATGGGGGGGAGATATATCTATCTATCTATCTATCTATAAATTATTTTTCATAATTATTAAGACTGGAAATCTCCTGATCAACGGGCCAGAAGTATCCTTGTTCTCTGAGGACTGCACTGTTTGCTTCTAGGCTGCCACCTCATTGCTGTGTCCTCTGGAAGGGATGGCCTTAGATGGCATAAGGGCTGGAAAGGCAAAAAAGGGCCAAAAGCTGTGTGAGGGCTTTTTTGTAAGGGTCTTAAGTCCCATTCATGAAGGAAGAGCTCTCACCATCTAATCAGCCTCTAAAGTCCACCCACCCCCAGTACTGTTGCATTGGGGATTAAGTTCATCATGATTTTAGAGGACACATGAATGTTCAAGCCATAGCACTCATGAGCGGGTGCTTTTTGGACACTGTCTCAGGCACCATTCAAGGCTCTGGGAGTGGAGGAATGAAAAAGATGGACAAAACCTACCTTGTTTAGGGAGAGCTTGCCTTCTTGGCTGGTGTTTATTATAATAGAGATATAAGTAAAGATCTTCATGATAGACCAGAGGAGGGAGAAATGAATTTCTTCAAACACAATAAGAGGAAGATTTCAGGGAAAAGCGGATGTGTTTCTGGACTTTAAGTGATTGGTAGAAGTTCAACGGGAAAAACTGGAAAGAAAAGATTCAGTAGCACATTTGTACTGGAATTATTTTGGTTTTATTTCAATTGTGTGTTATCTATTGCACTAGGAAGTTCTATATTCAAGGTTACTATTGGCTTGAAAATTTGGCAACTTGTTTTCTTTTAAAAATGATTTGTTTTGTTTCTTAGGAGTCATTTTCTGATGACCTACTTTTTTTTTTGACCTGTTTATTTAGGTGAAATCGACATGAACATTTTTATAAATGTTTTTTATCTGATTTTTTTCATTTTTTCTAAAATTCATAATAGTTTTTTCTTTGTTTCACTTTTTAAAAATAATTTTTTATGCATATGTTATAATTTTATTTGCTTTAATGTCATTAGGTGCCTATGGTTGAAACTCCCAACTTTGGATTCATTCTAGAATTACTTGAAGAGCTTTACAAATGCCATTGACTAGGCACTATTTGTTTCTGAGGTTTAGTCTGGGCACCAAGATTTTCAAAAGCTCTTCAGGTGTTTTTCCTTTGCACTCAAACTTTAGAAACTATTGACTTAAGGAGTTTAGAAAGTAATTAAAACATGCTATTTTGGGAAAGTAAATAACTGTGGCTCACCTGAGTAGCGTGATCAATCTATCATCTTAAATTTCTTGTCTGGAATACAGTGAAATAATTAGAATTGGGATAATATACATTGAAGTCCTCACATTTGATAAATATTTTTATCAAACCATAAAAGGAATTAAATGAAACCTATATATGGACAGAATAATTTCCAAGGCTTAGATTCCTGCAGGGATGGGATAAATTGTCTTATTATTGTATAGAGTTCAAACTCTATACAAAACAAATACAAGATTTGTTACAAATTAGTAAACTTGCTCACAGAGCCTGTTGGTGTTAGGTGAACATTGCTTTCAAAGTCTTCTTGACTTTGGCACCTATTTTTAATGTACTGAGTACACTGATACTATAAAGGAGGCCTTTGTTTACTCTAGTAACAAGATGTTGGACATGACCTAGTAAACTCCTACCTCCCGAAGTATCAGAAAACCTCTAGAAAGATATGGAGCTGAACTCTATGCTTCTACTGTCTTTTCTTCTGTGATGCGATCTAGTTTGTATCCAGCTTACAATAAAAAACTGAAGGGAGGTTTAGCAATGTTTACTACGATTTCACTGTTTGGTTTTAAGTATCGCAAATACTATTGCAGTACATATTGCAAGACATGCCAGAATACAGCTATGTCTTGCAGTATGTACTGCACTAGAATTGTAGACTTCTGATATGCCTGTTAGCATGGTATCTGAAAATAGTGAAATTCAATGAAGAGAATATTTAATTAGAATTGAGTTCAAAGTCTAGATTTACAGTTTCTAAGCTGCTTTATCTCATCTCCAGCCTTAGTTTCTACATCTGGAAAATGGGAAAGAATTGAACTGAAGTTTAATGTTGGTTAATGAGATAAACTGTTTTAAATATTAACACATTGCCATTGTTCTGAAATAATAGATCACTAGTTTTGAAATAATGGTATTTGGGATGATATATGTGAGTCCCATTTAATGTAGCTGTATTTCTGAATTTCTGATGAACCAAATAAATTTCCTAGTAAAGGTGTTGGTAACATGCTTTTATCATAATAATAGATTTCATAATTTTTCATGCGCTTAAAGACGTTTTATAAAACTCAAAGATTCTTAACATTTAAGAAGGGAAAAATCAGAATGTTGATAATATAGATCTCACAATATAGTCAGGGCATAGAAACCAAAGTTTATACATATACAGTACCCACACAAAATGTACTGTAGGCCATGTTGACATGCAGATCAAAATGGTTTATTCATCTAAAAATGCTTGTTGTGTTCCTCTATGTACTCAAATAAGATCATCATGGTGATAACCCCTCCTATTTTATGCAGCTTAAAATTGTTCTTAAAGATACAATTCAAATGTGGTCTACTTTATTATTATTCCTTTCTTCCCTCTTCAAAACAAATCCCTTCTCCACATTACTCAGCAAGCTGTCTCTACCCTGGTGGTTATTTTATAAAATATAAATATTTTACACATATTAAAAGTATCACTGCAGTTATATTTTAGGTATTAGATTGAAGGTTGCATGGTTTCTGGTTAAGGAAGTCTGGCTCTGACATTAGAGGTATCTTCATTTTGGGGCAGGAGCTGTGGCTCAGCGGTAGAGCTCTCGCCTAGAATGTACGAGCCCCTGGGTTTGATCCTCAGCACCACATAAAAATGAAGAAATACATAAAATAAAGGTATCATGTCCATCTATAACTTAAAAAAAAAACAAATATTTTTTAAAAAGTATCTTCATTTTAATTTCCACTTTTGTCTCTCAGCAGACAAAATTGTTCTTTACAAGCTCAATTTAGTTACCTGTGAGATGGGGACAAAAAGCTTCTACCTCAAAGGCTTGCTGAAATTAAGTGGCATAATATAAAATGCTGAAGATTGTAAGTGTTCAATAAGTGGTAGTGAATTTTTTATTGTTGTAATCATGTAAAAATGATACATAATTTCATAAAACCCCCTCCACTTGACACACTCTTTCAGGACCAAGACCATCACTTGGCATTTTGTGTAACTTTTTTAAATCTTTATTTTTTAGTTGTAGTTGGACACAATACCTTTGTTTTATTTATTTATTTTTATGTGGCGCTGAGGTCAAACCCAGGCCGGGCCCTTTACTCCCCCAACCCATTTTGTACATGTTTAAGGAGAAGTTCATTAATAAATACTTGTTGACCAAATACATTAGTTTTTCTCATTACTTGAGTTTTTAAAAAAATAGCATTGGCATATATAAAAAATTCATAAAACATTTTTTCTAAATTATTTTGTTTTAAAATCCCTATAGGTACCTTCGAAGTTCATAATTGTCTTAAAATCTGAGGATTCCACCAAGATAATATGATAAGAGCTCACAATGATTTGGAACCACATCCTACTTAAACTAATGTAAGACGTGCAGATTTCATGAGAGTGTGGTACAGCTGCAAACATTGCTTTCCCATTGGCATAGGCAGTAATGCCATCTCTGCCTCAGGAGGGAGGTGAGCAGACTGGCTGAGCCACATTACACCATATGATATGATGTAGATCATTACTGTTTACTGTTGAGTGTGCAAAATTACTTTAATACTTTTGAAGTACCATAATTTATTATTTTACCTTGTTGGGGGCATTTGTGTTTCTGGTGTGGATTTTTTTTTCAATTTCTGTTATATTTGGTTGTTTTTTACATTTCTTTTAAAGTTATTCAGGGACCCTCTCCCCTGGATTTGAATATGGAGTTACCTTATCAAAGCACCATGAAAAGAAAAGTTAGAAAGAAGAAAAAAAAGGGAATCATTACTGCAAATGTTGCTGGGACAAAATTTGAAATTGGTAAGTCTCCTCAGAATCATGGGATTTTAAAAATTGCTGGAAAAACTGATTTGGTGATGAAAACAACATAAAATTGCAGAGAGATAACTATCTTTTATGTAATGGGTTTTTAAGTGCTTCGTATAAAATTTCTGGCATGATGGAAGGATTCTTTTTCTATGCAGTGGAGGATGATATCCTTAAAAAGATCCTAAGTGGTTTCTAAAATTTCAGTTCAAACAAAAAGGCAGTTAAATAGCTTAGATGAAAAAAAAAAAGTGAGAGTTTTAAACTTGACATTGTATTTTTCCTTAAAGCTCAACTTAGCTCTCTGAACTTTGATGTTCTTTATAAAAGGGATTTAAATATGACTGACCCTAAAATTTGATTTTGTGTATATAAAGAAAGAATAGATTTTCTTCATTCCTCTTACACAACCTCCATGTTGTCAGCTCCACTGGTGTGTGTGCCCATGATACCCAGATTTAAGAAGCTTATCATACTCCCTGCTCCATAGCTGCCAGTTCTGTTTATCTCAAGTTCCTCTCTGTGAATTTTGAGAGGCCCCTGACAGTGGCTGTCATTTACTCAGGAATAGGTCTGCTCCTGAGCTGTTTGTAGACCAGTTAAAGAATTCTCCCAGGCTATGCTGCTATTGTCCTTGCCCTCTGTATGAGCTGTAGGTGGCACAACCCTCAGGATGCCAGAGCTCTGACAGGAGGCAGGAATGGACCTTTCCTTCAGTTCTTGTGTGTTTGCACATGATCACCTGGGGCTTGCATACAACCCCAGGTTTCACTTGGCCTCCCTGGGAAACAGCAACTCCATCTCAGCAGCTGTCTCCATTTTCCTCCCCTCCTTCACCCCATTTGCTGTTCTCTTCCTCATGCTTGTCATGGACACTGCTGCATATAGAGTCCTTTCTTCTCAGCTAGCAAATGTTAGGAGGCCCTAGAACTTGAGACCAACAGGTGTGGGGTTATCAGTTTTCTATGTGAGCTAAGTCATTTCAACAATTGATACATCATAGATAGGGTACTAGTAAAAAAAGAAAAAAAAACATTAAAAACTTGGATAGTTTTTAATGCACTCTTATATAGTTCCTGCATCATTGTGTTCTGGTTCAGAATTCTGTAGGAACCCCCAAATTATGCTAAGTATATTGCTTATCTTTATTTTAAACTTGAAATTTGTTGGAAGAAAAAAATGTCAATATATTAACTGTGTTCAGAAAGGAATGCTTAAATAGTTTGTACTCAAAATGAAGTTTTTCTCTGGGTATTGATTTCCTCAGTAGAATGACAGAATTAGGTTGGAAGCACAGGAGGGGCCATATTTAAATTCTTCCTGTGAATTCTGCTACACTGGTTCATACTCAGAGTAAACAGAGATGACTTGGTTTCAGGAGCCAAAAATAATTTGAACTAGGGAGGTGGAAAATCCAAGATAGTTCTGAAGATCAGGTGCTATTTTTACATTTGCCCTTTTGTACCTATCTCCAGGTCATGAAAAAGAAGTAAAAGTGAATTTGTATCTCAGTCTTGTCTCAGCTGTTTTTTTTTTTTTTATTGTTCTAAAATTGACTACTTAACCCTTTGGGAGTTTATGTGTCTGTTAAATCTGAGAGGACTAAAACTAGGGTGTTGTGTACAACCTAATACAGTTCTTGGTTATTTTGAGAAAAATTTGTTCTTAGATAAAACTGTTTTAATTAGAATTGAAGTTATGCTACAAGTAATGCATTTTTTATAAATGAAATACTACATTAATTAGTTTGTATTATTTATGACATTATATATTACATATATAAATATTTCAGAAGTATTTTAATTCTGGTTTAACTATTTGTTTACAGTTCGCTTAGTAATAGATGAAATGGGATTTTTGAAAACTCCAGATGAGGATGAAACGAGTAACCTTATATGGTGTGATTCTGCTGTTCAGCAGGAGAAAATTGTAGAGCTGCAGAATTACCAGGTGGGACATTAATCACAACCAGTTCTTAGTATGAGGAAATTATATGGACTCCATCATGGTTTCTTTACATAGACCCTTAGTCTACTGACATAGTAGATTCCAGTTCTAGTTTACCTCAGCCTGTTTTGTTGCTTTGTGGTTGTGTTGACTCTGCATGGAGCCTGCATCTTTTTCAAAAAACTTAACTTTTAACCTCCTTCTTTCTTTAAATTATATTTAGTAGGAAAAAATCCTTTTCCCAAGAATGTGTTCTGCATTACACATAAAGAAGAGATTGCACGGGGAGATCAAGAAATGGAACTATCTTGCAATGTTAGATATATGTAATTTGGCTTTTATTTTTAAAATGTAACATAAATTTTTATTCAGAAGAAAGTAGAAATCACATTGAAAAACTAAATACAAGGACTATATAAGTTGAAATTTTATATCATCCTTCTTCATTTGTTAATTTAGAGGATAATATATAAATGGCCAGTTTTTTATACAAGGCCTATGTGTATTAAGGTAGTAAATGTAGTATGCCCAAAACAGTTTGGATATTGAATTACCACATATTCAACACAGGACATCATTTACCATCTATGTAAAATCTTTATCTGATTTCTTTAAAATTTTATAATTGTGTTCTGTATTATGACAGACTTCTTAAATCACAATTTAATTATAGATCATTTAATTTAAAATCCTTTACATTAACAATTTCTAGTTTATTAAAACAAAACTCAAAGGATGGATTTGATTGTATTTAGTATAAATAAATATATTCATTAATTCAATGAGAATATTAATATTTACTTTTTTTATTTTCCAGAGGATCAACCATTTTCCAGGAATGGGGGAGATCTGTAGAAAGGATTTCTTAGCAAGAAATATGACCAAGTAATCTTCATTTCCTTGTAATAGAGAAGAGCTGTTTAAGATTTTATACTGTGAATATTGTAGTGCTCTTTTATGAGTTTCCATTGATTTGAAATGATTTCTAGATGGAAGAGAATTTTAGAGCTAGAGCAATCTTAACAGTTCCCTTGTTCTAGTCTTTCATTTTGCAGAGGAGGTAACTGAGAATCAGAGAAATGATTATCTTGCTCAAAGTCAAACAAATAGTTAATAACAGAGCTGGATCAGAATTCATCTCATAATCTGAGTACTCTTTTTACTGTAATTTGCTGTTTCTTTAGTATCAGAAGTTGTTCTTTTAAATGTGAGCAGTAGTCTATGTGGCATTCAATTGATACTTGCTTAGTTTTAGTTAAACTGTACAGTAACTAATTGGTTGCATTATATGCCATAAATGTGTGTGTGTGTGTGTGTGCGTGCGTGTTCACACTGGTTATTGAACATCTAACATGTACCAGGCACACAATACACAGATACAGGTATGCATGCTCACTCAGGGATGTACATGCATGTAAATTAATCTCTGAGGTCAGTAACAGTGTACTTTCACAGAAAAAATTGTTAACAAATACTTCAGTGTTTTGCTAGATGAACTGTAGAATGTTTATGTACTTTATACTTTTGTTGTTTTATGTTTTAGATTTTTTTTTCAGTTTAAGAATGTTGAGTGGTAAGAATTTACTAAAAGGAAAGAAGTCTATTCTTAAAGTATAGTAAATTTATGTTTATAATTAAGAACTATTAAGGTGTGAAAGTTTATAATTTTTCATCTATTAATGATACAAAATTTTTTGTAGGTCTGGTATATGATCCAGAGGCTGCTAATTTTTAAGTAAAAAGATAATAAAACTTAGTTCCTGCCTAAAACTCACAATTTAATTAGAGAGTAAGAATAATACGAAGAGTCATGGTGTTCACAGATCACTATTAGAGAGAGCTCACACTATTCGGGGGTCAGAAAGGTACAGTTAAATATACAATGGATGTGGAAAATGTATACAGGGCTTACCCTGTGAGAAGGTAAGGAGCTCACAGCAGACATAGCAGTGGGAGAAAATATCTGAAGACTTGAACCAGCCTGACATTTGGGCACCTTTAAGCAGTTTCTATGGTCATGTATGATGTTGCAAGACCCAGTCTGAGATGATGCTGGAGATTTATGCAAATGCAAGGACACATGTGCCATGTTATTATATTTTATTTCATCATTCATTCATCTTTTTATCTACTCAGCAAAAACGTTGTTTTTCATCTTGAAAGAGGAAATTATTGAATAAACTTAAGCAGAGAAATAATGTCTTAGAATCATGGTGGCACTCTGCATAATGAATTCAATGAAGGTAGGAGTAGAGGGAGAAAACTGTGAGATGATTGTCACTAGTTAAGAAGTAATGACCATCTAATGAACCACAGGAGTGTTAGTGGGAATGAGGAATGGAGAAGAAATCTGAGTGTTGTTAAAGATAAAATTAATGTGCCATCAGGGATATTAAAGAGATGGAATTGACTGAAAATGACTTTGATGTGAGTATTAAAGATGGGGAGGGGAGAGGCTTTCAGGATGATTCCCAGGTTTTTGACTTGGAATATTATGTAGGTAGCATGATTAGAAGGAATATAAGAAGAATAGGCTTCAGGGGAAATGGAATTTACCTCTGTAAAGTTTTGGGCATGTGTCTCGTTTGTCATTTAACACACTTATTAAGGACCTACTATGTACTATGAATGGTGTTGGGGTCTGGGTACATAAGTCATCAATAGCAGATCTATTGTTACTACAACATTCAACTGCAAGTGTGATAGTGCTATGAAGTGAAGGTTTGTAGTTCTAAACCTGTGTGTAGAACAGGAGCTCTGACCTAGTTAGGAAGGTATGGGAGAGTTTCCCTGAGGAAGTGATGTGGAAATTGATACATGAATGATGAATAGGACTTTATTGGTACAGATACTAGATAAGAAACATCCAGGCAGGAGGAACTGCATGGGCCAAGGTCATATGGTAGGAGAAAGCATAAATAATCAATATACTGAAATAATGTCAAGTGCAGTTGCAGCATAGAGGTGGATGGGGAACAGGGGAGAGATTAACTGAAGGTGAAGATGTTCAGAATTATGATCTTTATCTCCAAGCCATGGGGGAGGTAGGGGTAAGGAGACTAGGAGTGATGGTAGTTTGCCCAGATTCTCATTTTGTAAAGATGCTTTTGGCTGCTTTGTAGATAAAGAAGTTTGTGTGAGAGAGGTAAGAGGATAAAGGTAGCTCTGTGAGCAGGCTACTGCAGATGAGCAGTTTCTTATTACACAGAATCCATGGAATTCTCCCTATGGAAAAAGTAGTTTTCTAGAAGTTATAACCTAAACATAGAGTTAACTAAATTACTTATTTACTATCAGTAAGTCCATGACAAAATAGAAATTATCACAGATATCTTCTTAATTAAAACTGAGTATTTCTTTTGAGCTAGATAACTTAAATGGAGTAAGTATTCACTTGAATATATGCATGCTTTGCTCTTTTCCAAATATGTATGGTTAGTTTTTGAGATGTATTATTCTGATAAAAACTTTTACATGATCTAATTTCATAGAATTGTTAAATACATAATAAATTTAAAGGTGTTGGAAACAAAGACCGTGACATTAGCACTGTTATTTTGCTTTGTTTCAGTTGTCTTTAATTTTCAAACCAACCTATGTTATTCTATTTTGTACTGAGATTATTTTAGTTCGTTGGCTTAAAATAGATTTTCCAGATAAAATGGGTAATTATTTTCTTTCTCTTAGGGGTAACTTTTTTATAGGATTCTCATGAGAAAGCACTTTTTAAATATAACTATATGAGTCTTCTGTTGTGTAACTCAAGTGACTGATATATTCCACACCCAGTCTTAGAATTTAGACTCTGATTCTGTGCAAGCATTATGCTAAGACTCCATTTTATTTTTAATCAATTTTGCTTGGGGAAATGAAATTTCAGAAAAGACTTTTGGAAAAAAATTTTCTTTTAAAACAATCAGATTTTCATTAGTAGGCAATATTTAAAAAACCTTTCTCATAATTTCTTCATTTTACTTCTAAGTACGGAATTATTAACATTTGGGATTAATAAAGATTAAACATTTTAAGCTTATTATTATTTCTAAATTATGTGATCTAATAAAAGAGGTGACCTAATTTATAACAAACCAAAAGTATCAGGACCTACATCATAACTACGCAATCACATGTACAGATAGTGCATACAAATAATAATCAACACCTCTGTTGATTCAGATGCTTTCACATGGTTTCTCAGAAAAGCAGTTAAATTCTAAAAACAGTAGCATCAAAGGAAATTAGTTGTTCCCCATGGGTGACCCAGAAGTCACGTTTAAAGAGCCAGTGTGTCTGGCATTTGGCCTTGAGCTTCCTTGCCAGTTGGTGACTCACTCCCATGCCCTTGCCTCATATGCCATCTATGCACTCATCATTTTGTTTTGTGATTAACAGCCTTTCTCTGAATTCACTGGGGCAGAGACTATATTGCTTTTATGTTAATATTGCCAGTACCTGGCACAGTGTATAATCAAATAGATCTTTGGTGCAGTAATATGGAAATTAAATACATAATAGGGCAGAGATTTTGGTCTACGTTTTGCACTGATGGATCTAGAAAAGTGTAGACTAGTGTCTTGTACATAGTAGGTGCTTAATAGACATTTGTCGAACTGGGTCTATAAGTGAGTGAATCAATGAAGAATTGGAGAGAATTTAAATCATTGTAGTATCCCTAGCAGAGAAATAAAACAAAAAATTTTAATACAATTTATCTTTCATACTGTCTCTAATTTATAGAATGATCAAGTCTCGGCCTCTGGATTATACCTTTATTCCTCGAACATGGATCTTCCCTTCTGAATATACTCAATTCCAGAACTACGTGAAAGAGTTGAAGAAAAAACGGAAGCAGAAAACTTTTATAGTAAAACCAGCTAATGGTGCAATGGGTCATGGGTAGGTTTATTATTACCTGGAATATATAAAAGCTATAAAAATGGAAGGAAAGTAATAATGTGTATAATTACTCATGGTTGAGTACTGTTATGAAAAAATAATAAAAATTGTTTTTAATTATTGTTTTTTGGAACTAAATGCTTAATGAGGTTCATTCTTTAAAGTTATCTCACAAGCTTCAGTAATTCAGTTTAAAGATTAAATCAGTAGGTGTGAGACCTTTAATAAATAACGAAATGGAGGGGAAAAAAGCTGTATTCTACTTTCTTCATAGACATAAAATGCTCATTTATAATAATTTTAATAATCTTGGAGAGTAAAGTCATGTTATAGTAAAGAAAAGGAAATGGAAGGAAGTTATTCTTTGTATAGCTATAACCCTAAAACAGAACAGTATGATCTTTGCTGGATAAATAGTTTTTTTTTTTTTTTTAACTGTAGCCATGATAATTGGGTTGCAAATGAGTAGAACACATTTTAAGCTAGAGTGCCAAGAATTAGACATGTTAACTGAAAATAGAATGTGGACTTAAAATTCTTGTTTCCTTTTGCTTTTTTATATTTAGTTGTTTACAATGCACTTTTAAAAAGAAAATGTGGCTGAAGCTATTTTTAATAAAATAGACTTAAGTGATTTAAATTTTTTTATAAAAAATGCTATGGGGAAAAAGGATTCTTGGAAATGGTAGCTACTCTGGAAATTATTGTCCAAAAAATTTCCTTTAACTTTTAATCATAATGTAATATTTCAATCATACATTATATTTAAATGTAGTTTGATAAAATAATCAAGTATGTTAGTGGCAATTTTGTGTCAACTGCTTAATGTTAAGTTGGTTTCCTATAGGTATCAAAAGGAAATTTTTTGGAAGGATTATTTAATTTTATATTTTTCCTCAATTTTAGTGTTAATATTTAATATAAATATATTTATATTTATTGTTAAAATGTATGTAAGTAATAATTCTCCAATTTCTTTTTATTACAAAATAAAAATTACTGGAAGAGCAGATAATTGAAAGGGTATTCTGTGTTGCCTGAGTTTGTGTCCTATAATGCAACAGTATGTATGTAAAGTTGCTTCTTTTCTTTGTTAAAGATGCCTGCTTCTTGCTGATCTTCTGTGTAGTTATGGAGTACTGTTGCTTCCAACTGTTATTGAACTGTTTATCCCCTTGACTATACCAGTTTTTGCTTTATATGTTTTAAAGCTCAGTTGCTAAATGCATATATATTTGTGCTTATTATGTATTCTTGATTCATTGGTATTTTTTATCATTGCATAATGTCATTTTTTACCTCTTGTAGTAATTTTTGTCTTAAAATGTCTTTTATCTTATACTAGTATAGCACTCCAGATTGTTGTTTACATGTAATATCTTTTCACTTTCAGCCTATTCATACTTTTGACTACAAAGGGAGTTTTTTTTTTTTTGTAAATAGCATAATAATTAGACCATATTTTAAAAAAATCCATTCTGCCCAAGCCCTGTCTTTCATTAGAGAGCTAATCTACTTATACTTAATGTAATTACTGAAAAAGAGTTATTTCATTTTGCTATTTTGTTCTTTATTTTGTATATATATTATTATATAGTTTTTATTCCTAAATTTCTCCACTCTACTCTCTTTTGTGTAAATAGATTTTTTTTGTAAACTTAAATTCCCTTGTCATTTCTTTTACTATAAGTTTAATGCAATTTACACTAATGTATAATAATCTAGTATTCTGTGTCCATCAGCATAGATTTATAACTGTTTTTTTAATGCAGTTGTCTTTTAAATCATTAAAATAATGAAGAATTACAAACCCAAACTACATTGTTAGTAACTTTCATACTTATTTGTGTTGCCACCTTTCTGGTATTCTTTGGCAATTTATTTATTATAAAGTAGATATGGATCTCTTTGAATTTATTCTCCCTGGAGTTAAATAAGATTCTTGGATGCATAGATACATGATTTCCATCCAACTGGGAAGTTTTCTGCCATAATTTCTTTAAATCTTCTTTTTGATTTTTTTCTATTTATTTTTCTTTATTTGTTTTTTATTTTTCTTGTTCCACAGACTACATAATTTCAACTGGCCTATCTTCAAGTTTGCTGATTCTTTTTATGCTTTCCCCAGTACACTATTTAGTGACTTTTCCATTTCAGTTACTTTATTTTTAACTCTCAAATTTGTGTTGGTTCTTTTTTTAAAACAATTTTTTTTATGCTCTGTTTAATGAGATGTTGTTTTCATGATTTTCTTCAGTTATTTTATATAGTTTCCATTAGATCTTTGTATAAATTTTTTTTAGATCTTTGTATAAATTTTAAATAGTGATTTAAATAGTTGATTATCTAGTAAAGCCAACATCTAGGCTTTATTTCTTTATTTCACTGCATATGGGTTATATTTTGTTTCTTATTTGCATACTTCATAATTTTTGGTTGAATATTATAATGTAGCAATCATGGAAATCAGACTCTTTCCCCCTTGTGTTGTTTGTTGTTGTGGCTTTGTTGTAGCATTTTTTTGTTTATTGACCTCTTAGAACTGATTTTGTGAATTCTGTATTTTTTGTTGTGTGTGGCCACTGAAGTTCCTTCTCTGGTTTCTTAGCTGGAAATTTGACAGAGATACCATCAAACACTTAGACCCCCCCAAAAAGCTTGGAAAACCTGGCTGTCTTTGCAGATGTGTGCTGTGTTTGTTGGGTGCTCCTTTACCAGTTCACTTTAGCCTTTAGTGCCTACTTGTTTGATGGTTAGTCTGAGGTGAGAACGTGTGGTCTTTTCAGATATTTACTGAGCACGCACAACCTACCCCTGAGCATGACCATTGCCCTCTAGCCTCACTGGAGAAAGGACTTCTCAAAGTCCCAAAGATTTTCATTCCCAAGCATTTTCACCTAGTCTTTTTAAAGTTAGTCTGTTGTTTGTTCCAAGTATTGTTTGTTGCAGTAGGCAACAGACATTTACCCTTAAATATTTTCAACAATTGTCCCCCAAGGGGCACCTCAGCTCTGGTAGAACTCTGAGTTGCATAAGATAAATAGAAAGCCTTGAGTTCTTCCAGGGAAACACAGACAGGTAAAATAAACAACTGCAGGAATAAGGTCCATTCGGCACATTCCAGAATTGGTACTTGTGCTAGGAATATAGGCTGTTGTTTAAGGCCACTGCTCAGCTGGGATTACATGGTGGGGCCAGAGCAGGTTAAAATACTACAAAACTTTTTTTTATAGATTTAGCTGTTTTTTCCTTGATTAAGTGGCCTCTGGATCTTGTAGGCTTTTGATAAGTTTCTGGAGCTCTAAAATGTTGATTCTGACAGTTTTTAAAAAACTATTTCTTGCTTTTGTGGAGGGATAGATTTTTGGAGTTTCCTGTTTCGTTATTTTCCTCCCGAGTATGTAGATGACTTTTTGAACATTTTGTTTCCATATCACATTATTCATTTTGGTGTTTCTCTTTAAACTTAGGATTTCTTTGATACGAAATGGTGATAAACTTCCATCTCAGGATCATTTAATTGTTCAAGAATACATTGAAAAGCCTTTTCTAATGGAAGGTTACAAGTTTGATTTACGAATTTATATTCTGGTAACATCATGTGATCCATTAAAAATATTTCTGTACCATGATGGACTTGTGCGAATGGGAACAGAAAAGTATATTCCACCTAATGAGTCCAATTTGGTAAGTGGTACCAGAGAGAATTTTTGTTTTCATTTATTTGTTTAATATATACTTACTGAAGTATCTATTACATATTTAAGATTGTATGAATCAAAATTGTTCATCTTAGGCTTTTATGATCTAGAAGAATCATATGTCCAAGCAAGACTGCCTCTAATTTTTGTTAGCACAACAAAAAAAGTAGGATTGTAAATTTACACTGATGAAATGTGAATTTAAGATATGATTTAGCAGTTTGTGTGCTTTTTAATGTTTATTAATCGGAACGTTTTGTAGATGCTTTTTCATTAAGATTTCTTTTGTGCAGCCATAACATATTCATGAAAGTCATACTGTAACATCATGGAAACCATCAACTGTAATTTGCAATTTATGAAAGCCAAGTTGCAATTTCTTATCTATACATAAAATTTTAGTTACCTTCTAATTCTATTTTTGGATCTACTATTCATAATAAAAATTGCAATTAATTATTGTTTTTTGTTTTGTCAAAAGCCTGATTATTGTTCCCTCCTAGTATTATGCACATAACTATCCCCAACAAGAGAGGTCATATTTCAAAATTGAATAGTGGCTGCTTATAAATTTTGCTGTTTGATACACTGAGAATATGTAAACATTGGCAAAGGAAGAACAAGGGAGCTGTCAAAGTTTTATAGGAAAGGCCATTAAAAGAAAGAAACATCTCATTAAAGGTCATAAGGAGTGGAGATAGCCAATCACCAAGAAATGTTTGAAATATACTATGTTGTAGGCATTGTGCTGGCTTTGGAAAAAGAATGACCAGGACAGATACAGTGCTTGACTTCTCAGAAGCAACACTGTAGTGGGGAGGCAAAAAATAAAATAAGCAAATATAATTACTGATGGTAAGTGTGATGGTCTAAGAAACTGAGGACGCTGTGGCAGTGCATAGCAGTGGCACCTGACCCAGTTTAGGATAAAGATTTAGAGAAGTAGTTTCTTTGTAAATTGAAGTCTGCATAATGGGGAGCTTATTCTGGTTTGGATGGAGTGAGGTGTGGGGTTGGCTGGTGCCAGAGGAATGAACAGATCAGAGGTAAAAGAGAGGGTAGTATGTCTGGAGAAAGCAGAAAATTCAGTTTGGCTAAAGTACAGATGAAGTTGGAGAGTTCGGCACAGCAGATCTTTCAAGACTTTGTAGTCCATGGTTGTGGTTTGGTGTGGGTATGAAGTGTCCCCCCAAAGCTCCTATGTTATTGCAGAAATGTTCAGAGGTTCAGCCTAGCTTGAAGGAACTGACTGGGTGGTAACTGTAGGAAGGTGGGGTGTTACTGGAGGAGGTGGCTCACTGGGGTGTGCCCTGGGAGGGTTCCTCTTCCTTGCAGGCCCCTTTCCCTGTCCTTCTCTCTGCCTTCTGGCTGCCAGGAATGGATCAGTGCTCCTCATCACCCTCTCCCCACGAGGCACTGTCTTACTTGGGTCCAGAGCAATAGACTCAGACGTCAGTGGACTAAACCTCTGAACTATGAGCCAAAATAAACTTCACCTCCTCTAAGTTGTTCTTGTCAGGTATTTTGGTCACAATGACACAAAACATGACATACCATGTCTAGGATTTTGGAATTTGAGTTAAAATGGAAGGGAGCATTGTGAGATTTTAAACTAAGGAAAGAAAGGGCGAGATTTGTGTTTTAAAAAGGTCACATAGTCTGCAATGTGGGGGATGTGATTGGGGTGCAGATGTGTAGCATAGATTAGAGGAAGGGAGACAAGAGACTGAGCTTTAGTGTGATCACATATGAGAAGGGGAATGACTTAAACTGAAAATAACAGCATTGAGGCTGGACAGAGAATATGAAATAAATCTTGAGATTTATTTATGATAACATGGCTAAAACTGATATAATATGATGGCAGGTTGAATTTGTGGAATTGAGAGTAAGGGAGAGGAAAATCAAGAATAAAATTCAAGATCTTTGGCATGGGCAAGGGGGTGAATGGAACATTATATTCACTGTGACAGGGGTTTATCAAAGATTTTGTGGAAAGTTTCTGTGTTCCTTTGAAATGTTTATGTGACCTCCAAGTGGATCTGTTCTGTAGGCATTTGGATATATTGTATGGGCTTTTGAAGTTCAGAAGAGAGGTCTGGACTGCAGGTGAATCTGGCACATGCCAGTTCATAGATTATAATTAAAATAATTGGAATTGGTAAAAATGGATTATCAGTTATGTGAGGCCATAATAATTTTTTTTTTGGTAGTATTGGAAAGAAGCCTTGGAAGCTCTTTTTTGGGTGTTTCTTTTTTTAACAAATGCTTTATTATTACATGTGAGGGTTGTGTGTATACAATTTGCTCAAGAATACTGGATTAAGAAATTATAATGAGTGAAGGGAAATGTGACCTCTAAAGTCTCATTTTGCCAAGTGCTCTGGAATCACAAAAGCTCCTGGCTTTGGTTTTTCATAGAACAAGGATGTTTTTCTATTTAAATGTCATTGTTAATTATCATACAACATCTACAATTTAATGACTGAATTCCTAGAATGAGATATGAAAACTAAAAAAGTGAAATATGAAATTTTATGCAAACTGAGACCACAGTTATGTAAAAGGTCAGTTTAAGATAAAAGATTGGGGGGAAAAAAGAAATCAAACACCGTTTTCACTGGTTGTTTTGGGTATCAGGCTGCTGCATTCTCTTTTCCTATTTCCAACTTTTAAAACAGTGAACATGTATAATCAGCTGTGTATTTCTATGAAACTTAAATATTTAAAAACTAAATATAAAAAGATTTTAAGGCAAGAATGTCAGTTGTGTTGCCATGTAAGAAACATTCATTGTAGTGGTTGGCTAGTCCTTAAAAAGCTCTGTGTATATAATTCATTATGTTGGCACTGTTATATTCACAAACAGGGTAAGGTGGGATCATATCATTTTCACCCTTTGCAAGTTGCAAGATAGACCAAGGAATGTTTATTGCTAGCTTGATAAATCCATCAATTTTGTATTAATTGATCATTATATGAGACATTTTAAATTTTGGCTTATTTTTTAAGTTTGTTTAAGGAGAATATTGTCAACAAACTTTAGAACATAAAGAGACTAAAATGTAAGAGCCCCAGCATGGAGCACAGAACGTTTCCTGTTAATCATTCAGACACTCATAGCATCATGTGGTTCTGTCTGCCAGCCCTGAGTGCTCTGCCCTGTTGATGAGTTATAGTGACCCCCCTTCAGTAAAGGAGCCCTGAGGTTGTGTTTGGTAGTCCTGTCTCTTGATTTATGCTACTTGTCTGAGCTTTTGTTTTTTTTACTTTTCTTTGAAAAGGCATAAAATGCTTTTGCAGAAAATTCCTTTCCTCAAATTAGGGTGAAAATGTTAAGGACCCAAAATATTAAAAACAAAGTAATGAAAACAAATTGGGAACATTTTGCTGCTTAGCAATAGATAGTTTCATATTTTAATCTAATTATTTTTATGTACTATTCCTTTGATGCTTCTTTATGATAGCTAATGTTGTGAATCCTATATAAGGTGATTTTGTAGGTGATTACATTCTTAATCCTTTCAAGGGAAATAGGCCATTCCATTTCAATTGAAAATTACCCAAATAATAAGACGATTGGCAATCTGTATAGTTTAAAACCATTTTTAATAATTGAACGCCTTCTTTTCTGTGAAAATACACAGTTGCAGAGTCGCCTAGGTGGTTATGACTTTGGTTCTTACTCCTTACAGACCCAGTTATACATGCATCTGACAAACTACTCTGTGAACAAGCATAATGAACGTTTTGAACGGGATGAAACTGAAAACAAAGGCAGCAAACGTTCCATCAAATGGTTTACAGAATTCCTACAAGCCAATCAACATGACGTTGCTAAGTTTTGGAGTGATATTTCAGTAAGATTGTCTCATTCAATTGTAACCATCTTTTCTCAGCATTAATTTAAAATGCCATGAAGCACTTAAAATAAAGAACAGATTACATCAGATTGTGCAGATAAAGAGCATTTTCATGAAGGATGTGGACCTTGTGATGGACCTTGACAAGTAGGACTTTAAAAACTGCTAGAGAGAGGAATTTTAGGTGAAGACAAAACATAGGTAAAGGCTTGGAGGTATGAGAGTAGTAATAGGTGGTGTAGGTTGTCATGTAAGGTATGTGGGATATCTTGGAGACTTACTGCTGAAAAGATATGTGGGGCCAAATTTTAGGTCTGAAAAGTGAGGCATAGCTTGGTCAGCAGTGGAGATTTATTCAGTTTTTTTTTTTTTTTTTTGGAAGAGAGCAATAGAACCAAAACCAATGCACTTAAAAGATTATATATATATATATATATATATATATATATATATATATAAAATAGGGGTAGTATGGTTTAAAGTGAAGATCCAGAGTAGACAGGGAGGGCACTGGGAGTCTCTAAAAGTAGTTGAAGTGAAAAGAATGGTCTGAATTGAACCTCAGTAAAAGAGGTGACAGTGAGGTAAATATTGGGGTGAACTGAGTATCTATGGTGGAGACGATTGGAGTCCCTTCTGAAGTTTTCAAGAAGATTTGTAGGAAGAATGTGTGTTGCATTATCTGAATTAGACTGAGAAGGAATTTATTTTAAGAAGATGTAGAATCTTCTTTTGAAGATGAAGGAAAAGAGTTTTGTTCACTTATTCATTTGTTCATTCAGTCATGTAATACATGGCATAAGTCTGTCTCTGGTTGATAACTTGAAAACTTAAAAGTCACAGCTTTGATGGTTACACAAAAATTGTTAATAGAAGGCAGTATCATGAGTACAACAGAGGCATGCGTTCCATACCATGGAGATGTGGAAGAAGACCACACCTGGTAGCTTCAAGTGATGTAGACAGAAAGCAGAACTTCCTGGAAACAGAGACACCTGAGCAGAGGTTTTTAAAGTGCATGAGGCTATGGTGGTGAGTTCCACTTTGGATATGCTGATCTTGAAGTGCTGTCTTAGGTAGAAAGTCAAGAAGGCAGTGAAAAGTGTGTGTTTGGGGTACAACTGAATTAAAGCTGTGGCAGTGGTGAAATTCCAAAAGGTGAAGATATAAAAGAAAAGGAAATGGATATAAAGATAATCTTGGTGGAACAGATCCCTTATCAGTCCTGACGGAAGTATAAAAATAGTATTTATAGTTACAGTATGTCTACTGAAAGTCTCCGTATAATTAAGACCATACAACTCATCTGAGGTTTCTTCTTAGAATGATCAAATAATACATCTGTCATGGAAGATGGTCATGAAAGTTCAGAGTTGGTTGGACTTGGTTCTAGTTAAAAGGTTCTTGATATTTTTCAAGAAAAATATCACCTTACTTGTCTGATACCTAAGGGCCTATAAGTCCAAGGTTCTTAGGTATCAGACAAGTAAGGTGTGAAGTGATCTGAACAGAAGAAAGGCAGGGTGTGGTATGCTGGGAACACCAGCAATGCGAAGAGAGTGAGAGGTCCAAAGTGGGTGCGGGCTACTCAGCATGAGCCTGTTGGTGCCACGTGGTACTCTAGGCTCAGCGTTACTCATCTGCTAATTTGTTAATAGAAGACATAATGATTTAGCTATATTGGAAATTAATTCAAGAATTTATTAAAAAAATGTTGTCATCTGGATGTGGTCTGTTACCTAAAAATTTGTTAACTTTCAACTATATCATCCTGAGAGACTAAATACACTAAATAAGAAATTTGATTATAAAAATGTGTACTTGTTGGTTTCATTTATCAAGGCCAGTTTTGTGGAAATTCCAAAAATTGTTGTCTACTATCATAGTGGGTTGGAAGCATCCAGGTGGTGAAATTCATTTTCTTTGGAGAGTACCTCACTGATGGAAGGTCATACGTAATGACCTCTGGATGATTAATTGAATGAGCCATTAGATGATTAGCTCAGTGATATCAAGAAAGTTTTACAGACCCTCTGGCATTCCTTTTTTTTTTTAATCAAAGTTTTTTTTTTTTTAATTTAATTTATTTTTTTATTATTGGTTGTTCAAAATATTACATAGTTCTTGACATATCATATTTCATACATTTGATTCAAGCAGATTATGAACTCCCATTTTTACCCCGTATACATATTGCAGATTCACATAGGTTACACATCCACTGTTTTACATATTGCCATACTAGTGTCTGTTGTATTCTGCTGCCCTTCCTATCCTCTACCATCCCCCATCGCCTCCCCTCCCCTCCCATCTTCTCTCTCTACCTCATCTACTGTAATTCATTTCTCTCTCTTGTTTTTTTCCCCTTTCCCCTCACTTCCTCTTATATGCAATTTTGTATAACAATGAGGGTCTCCTTCCATTTCCATGCAATTTCCCTTTTCTCTCTCTTTCCCTCCCCCCTCTCGTCCCTGTTTAATGGTTATTTTCTTCTCATGCTCTTCCTCCCTATTCTGTTCTTAGTTGCTCTCCTTATATCAAAGATGACATTTGGCATTTGTATTTTAGGGATTGGCTAGCTTCACTTAGCATAATCTGCTCTAGTGCCATCCATTTCCCTGCAAATTCCATGATTTTGTCATTTTTTTAGTGCAGAGTAATACTCCATTATGTACAAATGCCACATTTTTTAATCCATTCATCTATTGAAGGGCATCTAGGTTGGTTCCACAGTCTTGCTATTGTGAATTGTGCTGCTATGAACATCGTTGTAGCAGTATCCCTATAGTACGCTCTTTTAAGGTCTTTAGGGAATAGTCCAAGAAGGGGAATAGCTGGGTCAAATGGTGGTTCCATTCCCAGCTTTCCCAGGAATCTCCATACTGCTTTCCAAATTGGCCGCACCAATTTGCAGCCCCACCAGCAATGTACAAGTGTACCCTTTTCCCCACATCCTCGCCAGCACTTGTTGTTGTTTGACTTCATAATGGCTGCCAATCTTACTGGAGTGAGATGGTATCTTAGGGTGGTTTTGATTTGCATTTCTCTGACAGCTAGAGATGGTGAGCATTTTTTCATGCACTTGTTGATTGATTGTATATCCTCCTCTGAGAAGTGTCTGTTCAGGTCCTTGGCCCATTTGTTGATTGGGTTATTTGTTATCTTATTGTTTAATTTTTTGAGTTCTTTGTATACTCTGGATATTAGGGCTCTATCTGAAGTGTGAGGAGTAAAAATTTGTTCCCAGGATGTAGGCTCCCTATTTACCTCTCTTATTGTTTCTCTTGCTGAGCAAAAACTTTTTAGTTTGAATAAGTCCCATTTGTTGATTCTTGTTATTAGCTCTTGTGCTATGGGTGTCCTATTAAGGAATTTGGAGCCCGACCCCACAATATGTAGATCAGAGCCAACTTTTTCTTCTATCAGACGCAGATAGAAGAAAAAGTTGGGTTTGATTCTTTGAGGAGGTATTTGTGAAATCATGGGAACTGTTGGACTTCTTTAGGAATGTATAGGGGGAATCAGCCAGAGAGAGATAAGCATCATTATTCTTGCAGACATGGGTTTTAGGTGATACTTTTTCTAGACAATTGAATTAGAAGAAGATCCATAAGCAAGACTAGTAGAGGGCAAGGGAATTGACTTTTCCGTTATTAGCTCAAGTATAATTTTTAGAAGTGAACCCAAAATTGCTAATGTAGGCCTGTTGAACTCTGACACATTTCATGATCTTGTCTGTAAGTGGATAAATTTTGTATCATTATTGGCTGTTACTTAGAATATTATATCAATAATCTGTAAATAACCAGTTACGTCATAATATTTTTGCCAAAGATGTATGATTATGTACATAATTGTTGGCATACATATAATTATTTGAAAATATGCCTTATTAAGAATAGGTATACTTTATATAAATATTTGTTTAAGGTGAATCAATGGTATAATATAAAAATAGAATTACAGGAAAAGGTAGAGAAAACTATTATGCAGTACATTTTTATCTGAATGCCTTGATTTACAAATTCCATGAGTTAACTAAGGCTCTTTTAAAAAATATATTTATGATTTTATTTATTTTTTTATGTGGTGCTGAGGCTGGAACTCAGTGCCTCACCTTTGCTAGGCAAGTGCTTTACTACTGAGCTAAAGCCAGCCCCTAAGGCTTTTTTTTAACAACCTATTTTTTAGATGCTTTTTTCAAAAAGTAACCATCTGTATATGAAAACTAACATTCACGAATACCTTCTGTGAAAATCAGAGCTGTGTGTTTTTGTGCTGGTCAAAAATGAGTAAGAAATCAGTATTAAATCAGGCCACATGGTATATATATACACAATGGAATATTACTCAGCCACAAAGAAGACGAAATTATGGCATTTGCCAGTAAAGGGGTGGAACTGGAGACCATCATGCTGAGTGAAATAAGCCACTCTCAAAAAACCAAAGGTTGAATGTTCTTTCTGATATGTGGATGCTAACATACAATATGGAAGGGAGAGCCAAGAATAGAAGTTCACTGGGTTAGACAAAGGGGAATGAAAGGAGTAGAGGGGGATGGGAATAGGAATGAAAGTAGAATGAATTGGACATAACTTTCCTGTGTTCATATGCGAATACATGAAACTCCACATTATGTACAATGGCAATTAGAATTAATTATACTCCAGGCATGTATAATATGTCAGAATACACTCTACTGTCATGTAGATCTAAAAAGAACCAATAAAAATAAGTAAAAAGAAAGGCTACAGAGATTAAAAATGAGTATAAACACTCATAAAATCATCTCTACTGTGTGCTTTTTATACAAATATACTTAATATACAAATTTACAAATCATATACAAAACAAGGTCACTATTGGAAATTCCCCCAAATAGTGGTGAAATTTCATTTGCATTTGGTTATATCACTCTGAACTTTCACATCTACTTGCAGCTTTGCCTTTACCACTTTGAAGTGTTGTTTTCTGTGAAGCGAAAACACAGGTTTTTAATTCAAGATCTTGTTACATAAGCCATTACCCTAGCCTGTCTTGTTTCACAGAGATACTTCCTGGCTAAATTTTAACTTTCTCCTACTCTTTAGAGGTTTCAGTGATATCTCCAAAGATTTATGTGACATGGCTTTAGTCTCTTATATGCCATGGTTTATGGTGAATTTATTATCTTAACTTCCTGAGAACAACTCTTTATGGCATCTTTCATACTTATCCCCAAGTATGAGCTGTACTATGGTTGTGAGTAACTATGAGGTTAATGTATATATTATAACTATAATAACTATTGCTCCCACTAGGAAGTAGAATACTTGCATCAGACCTGACGTGAGATGGAATTCAAGAGAAATGATGGATTGGCAATAACAGAAATAGTAGTTAAGTATCTAACAGTTATTGCAGGTTTACTCTATGCTAGGCACTATGTTAAGAGTTTTGCGTGGAATCTCATTCTGTCCTTATGTCAGTCTCTTTCAGTTTGCATTTAGGAAAAATGAGACTCAGTGTTTAAGCAACTTGATTGAGGCTGCACAGATAAGAAGTAGCAAAACCAAAGCCAGGAGTAAATCCAGAAGTCTGACCTAGAAATCTGTTTCTCAGCTGCCTTCCTGTACTGCCTGTACTTGCAGAGAAAGTGTTAAAAAGCCAACGTTAAACAAAAAATTAGTCAAGATAGGTGTATTTCCATAATTCATTGCTTTTTCTCAAACATCAGTGAAATTCATTTGGAAAAATAAGAGGTCCAAAATAGTCAAAGCCTACCTTACTGAGAAAAGTAAAGCAGGGGGCATCACAATCTCAGACCTTAAATTATACTACAGAGTTATAGTAACAAAAACAGCATGGTATTGGCATCAAAACAGGCATGAAGACCAGAATAGATAACACAGAGACAAATCCACAAAAACACAGTTAACTCATATTAGACAAAGGCACCAAAAATAAACCCTGGAGAAAGAAAGCCTCTTCAACAAAGGTTTTGGGAAAACTGGAAATTTCTATGTAGCTGTATGAAATTTAACCCTCATCTCTCACCCTCTACACAACTCAAAGTGGATCAAGGATCTAGGAATTAGACCAGAATCTGCGCACATACTAGAAGAAGATGTATGCCCAACACTCCAACACGTTGGCTTAGGAACTGACTTCCTTAACAAGACCCCTAAAGTGCAGAAGTAAAATCAATAATCAGCAAATGGAATGGCATCAAACTACAAACCTTCTTCACAGCAAAGGAAACAATCAAGAACGTGAAGAGAGAGCCCATAGATGGGAGAAAATCTTTGCTACCTGCACCTCAGATAAAGCATTAATTTCCAGGATATATGAAGAATTAAAAAAACTTAACATCAAAGAAACCAAATAACCCGATCAATAAATGGCAAAGGGACTAAACAGACAACTTCTCAAAAGAAGAAATATGAATGATCAACAAATATTTGAAAAAATGTTCAACATTTCTAGCAATTAGAGAAATGCAAATTAATAAGTACACTGAACTTTCATCTCATTCCAGTCAGAATAGCAATTAAAAAGAATACAAGTAACAATAAATGTTGGTGAGGATGTGGGAAAAAAGGTACACTCGGACATTGCTGGTGGGATTGCAAATTGGTGAGGTTGCAACCACTCTGGAAAGCAGTATGGAGATTCCTTAAGAAACTAGGAATGGAATCAGCATTTGAATTGGTTATCCCACTCCTCAGTATAAAATCAAGGGACTTAAAACTAGCATACTACAGTGATACAGCCACATCGATGTTTATTTATAGCAGCTCAACTCACTATAGCTAAGCTATGGAACCAACCTGTGTGCCCATTATTAGGTGACTGGATAAAGAAAATGTGATTTATATACACAATGGACTATTTCTCAGTCTTAAAGAAGAATGACTTTCTTATTGACTTTACAACATTTGCTGGTGAATAGATGGATCTGGAGACTCTCATGCTAGGTGACATACACCAATCCCCCGAATCCAAAGTTCCGATGTTCTCATAAGGGCAGGGAGGGGAAGAATAGAGGTTCAGTGGATTAGACAAAGGGAAATAAAGGGAAAGGAGGAGGAAAGGAGGAGGGATAGGAATAGGAAAGACAATGGAATTAATCTGACATAACTTTCCTATATACATGAATATCCCATAATGAATCTCAACATTGTATACATCCATAAGACTGAGATCCTAATTGGAGTAAAATATAGAATAAGATATCCTCCATGTTTCAATAAATATATCAAAATAGGCTTTACTGACATGTATAACTCAAAAGAACAAAAATAAGCAAAACAGCCTTCTTAAAAATAAGTTAGTAATTAATCCTAGTTTCTATTTTGTGTTTCCTAACAGAAAATGTTGATAGCCAGTTCTTTAATTGGAAATATTATCATCTCAGATAAACCTTAAGAACTACAAAATCATCATGGTACCAAAAAAAAAAAAAAAAAAAAAAAAACCCTCTAATGGATTATATTTTTCTAGCCCTTCCATCCTTTGTCTCAGTAGAGGTCCCATGGTGTTATTTGTAAGATAATGAACTCTCCTTGAATTTTTTCTTCCCAATTACTCTCATCCCTTTCTGTATGGGGCAAGCATATGCTCCTGATCTTACGTATTGAACAGATAGAACCGCATGTATCAACTTTTTTTTTTTTTGGTTACCATTGTTTTTGAGCATCTACTAATGTGAGGCAGTATTTTAGGTACTGAAATGGGACTGTAAATAAGACAGTCAAGGGCCCTTCTTTGACAAAAAGAGCTGGTTATATCCTGTTTGTAGTGATGCAAAAAGCAATCATGGTTGGTTATTTTTCAAATGGGTTTGAGAAAGGCCTGTGAGAATATCAGAGAGTCAGACAGGGGAGTGAGTGAGTGCAGGATAAAGAGTGTTCCAGGAAGAGGGAAGAGCTAGTGCACGGGATCCAAGCTAGGAGGGAGTGCCATTTACTGGAGAAACCCAAAGAAAGTGAGCATGACTGGGGCCTCGAGGGCATGGGAAATGGTTGGATGAAATGAAGCCAGAGCAGTGGCAGAGGACAGATGCCATAAAGCTTAGGAAATAGGGTCAGGTTGCTAGTTTGTAGGCCTAGGTCATGTCATCCTGGTATATATGTAAATGAGATGCAAAGAAATAAGTCATCTTCACCTCTTTTGTCGTAATCTTTGTAGGAATTGGTGGTAAAGACTCTGATTGTAGCTGAACCTCATGTCCTGCATGCGTATCGAATGTGTAGGCCTGGTCAACCTCCAGGCAGTGAAAGTGTCTGCTTTGAAGTCCTGGGATTTGACATTTTGTTGGATAGAAAACTAAAACCATGGCTTCTGGAGGTAAGGCACTCTTTAAAAAGTCAGAGAAGTTATCACTGTTGTGTATTAAAACTTGTGTTTTATAAACGTGTTCTTGGCACTGTTGTCCTCATTAACCGACTAGAATCAGGCCTGACTAGAGTATGTGGGAGGAAGAAAATGAAAATTCAGGGATTCGCATACTTCTAAGACTGAATCAATATGTGTGTGATATTACTTTCCCCAAGTAATTAGCATTCAGTGAATTTTTAGGATTAGAGATTTTTGAATGTAAGCACAAATCTACTTTTCCTGAGTTGTTGAGTTAGTACTTACTTGATCTACGAATTCTGGGTATGATCTTTCCTCTGTGTGGCTGCCTGGGCTTCAAGACCCAGCCTTCAGTGTGTCTCTTTTCAATCTCTCTAAGAAGACAGAAGTTTTAATTGGTTTATTAATCAATATTTAATGTCCGGTACACCAGGTGGAGTAAATTGTCCTTTAAGGCCATATTATATGCCTGGGGGTCCCCTCAGGTCCAACCTGTTAACTGTATGCCTTTGGGTTTGCTGCTCAACCAGGTAAGGCCAGAGTTTTCATTACTTTCTTTGATTATACAAGGTCACCTAAAACCATTTGAAAAATATGGAATAATATTACGGAGGAAACTAAAATTACTGCTGTTTAAGATGTTTATGTTTCCAGAAGTCATATTTATTTTACCCATGGGAAACGTTGGAAATCATGCTGCCCAGACATGCTCCATCCTGCATCTCCCTCCAAGCTCCCTGAGCTGGGGTCATGGAACTTTCTCATGGCTACTGAAACACTGTGTTTAGGCAGCTGTCAGAAAAATAGCACATATCAAAGCAGTATTTACTGAATTAATAACATATTGCTACAGAAGTTATAATCAATAGTTACCTTTTGTTTTAAATCGATAATCTCTTTTTTTTAGCCATTTAGAAGTTGGAAATTGCATCTGTAATACCAAGTTTTGTATAAGCAAGCTGAATGAGTGATAGGTGAGATCATGATGTTTGCAGTACATATTTTATAGATACGAACTTTCCTAATTTGAAGGCCAAACCTCTGTGTGTGTGTTCATCTCTCTGGGCAAATAATGTGTATTATATCTTCATGTAAATAAAGTTCCCTGCTGGCTATTCATATTTTGGTCAACCTGGCACTAGCAGTAAGATTACAGTGAAGAATTTTGCTCACCCTTTGCTCCCTCCATTCCTTAGATAGAAAAGCACGACTGGATGGTTGAATTCTGTATGTTTTTTTAAAGACTAGAAACACCATCTTCCTTCACTCTTTATACTCTGCATCATTATTTCCAGATCAGTCAGAACCATTAAAAACCTCTAAAATAAACAAAATCTGTGTATGATAAACATTTATATATTAAAACAGTTAAAAGAATTTTTTTAAGATCTTGGTTTGTATTTTGCACCCATCTGAAATTTTAGTGGTTCTGATGCACATTGTTAAAAACCTTTTGGCGCCATCAAGTGGAATAAGGTAGAAGCTACATCTGAGAATGTGACAGCTAACTAGAATAATTTCAGGTAATGATTGGTAGTGGTAAAATTTGAAGAAAATTTCAAACATAGAAAGCATTTTAAAAATGAAAATTTGTGCAGAGTGTTAATATATTGTCAATACTTTAAGTACCCTTGAATTAAACAAGGACCCATTGAGTTATAGACATGGTGCTAGGTGGTGGGGAAACAAGAAGAATCAGACAGAATACTTGCCTTGGTTTAGTGGAGACCCAGATGTGTGTTTTATGGTTATAGTTGGAAGCATTAACAAGGAAACAGAAAAACAGCACAAAAATAGTGATTAATCTCTATGTGCAGATATGTATAATTGAGAATTTAAACTAACAAATGAAAAAATCCAAACCAAATCAAACCAGACCAAACCAAACAAGAAATCTCTGCCAGTACATGTGCCTGAATTCCAGCAACTTGGAAGGCTGAGGCAGTAGAATCACAAGTTCAGGGTCAGCCTCAGCAACTTAGTGAGACCCTCAGCAATTTAGCAAGACCTTGTTTCAAAAAAAAAAGCTAAGGATATAGCTCAATGGTAAAGGGCCCCATCCCCAGAAACACCCTCTCCCCCAAATCAAAAGAAACGATGAGAACTTTGTACAAAGAACATCTGAGCAGTCTTTAAGGCTGACATAGGGAGTTGGGCTGGGAGAGATTAGGTGAGGGTCAGGGAAGAGCTGTGGGACTGAAGGAACAGCAGTAATAATGTAGGAGCATCACCTAAATTAGTTTTTCTTCTGTCTGTGCACATATTAGTTTATCTTGTGTGGGTAAATTTTTCAAATACTAATTTCTTCTGTATTGTAGTAGATGGAAGAAAGAAGTATATGAAAATTGTCTTATACTGAGATGTCAGTAGCATCTTGGAGGAGGTATATACCTGGCAGAATTCCCCGCTGCAATTTGGAATGGAATAGCTAAATAATTCTACAAAGATAGATAACATTCTAGTGAAACCCTTAATCATCAGTTCCTAAATCTGGTTTACTTCATAATCTTGTTACATGTAGCAGCCAGAGCTATATCATTAATCACCTTAAAATTTACAGGGATTTGAATTAGTATGGTTAAAACTTTTTTCATATAAATATATTACTTTATCCTTTCTCTGCACTTGTAAGGGGGAAAGGCTTAGAGCTTTGAAGTAACAGATTAATAAATTCTGTTTTTCAAACTGACCTAGAATATATGGATGTTCTTATAATTCTCAAGCTATTTCCTTATCTTTAGACCACATCACACAAAGACAGGATTATGTCACCTTCTAAGTCAGAAATCAACAGAGAAGTCAAAATACTACATGACCTTTGTCTGTGAAGGGAGTATGATGCATTCATCACAATGATGGCTTGATGAAAGATTTGCATGATACATTGTTAAGGAAAAACTTGGATTATAAAATAAAGTATGGTTAGTATAGACATGTATTTAGAAAATAAAATGAATTGTAATATATATATATATATATATATATATATATATATATATATACATAGAAAAAATAAAGTATGGTTAGTATAGACATCTAGAAAATAAAATGAATTGTAATATATGTATGCATAGAAAATGTCTGAAATACTCTTGACCAAATGGTTAAGAATATACCAGGGAGTGGAATGACAGGTGATCCTTTGCTGTTTGCTTTGTTTCTATTTACTATTTTTCTGCTGTGAAACCATGCCACTTTTCCAATTAGAGAGATGACATTTCTGGATGTAGTTTTGAGTATAATATGGTATTTCCTCAGGTCTCAGCTATAGAATGTATGCTATTGGTTGTCCCTTGTGATGAATTTTTGTAATTATGTCTAGAAGCGTATACTTTTGTTGAGATAGTTTAAGGGGTCAGTTGGTAATGAAGAAATGAAGTTATAGTTTTAAACTCATCAATATTCTAACCAACTCATTTAATTTAGAGTCTTAAAAACCTGCAGTGCCCATTAATTTTCCTAACAACAACAGTATTAAAACCCAACAACAACAAATACAAAAAGAAAATCTCTAGCCCTTGAGAATAGTACAGTATTGTACAAGGGATTTCAAGGTGTGTGTGTGTGTGTGTGTGTGTGTGTGTGTATTTTATATATGTTATATATCTTATATATATATAATTTTATATATATTTGCTGCTTCTTTTTCATCTTGATGAATTCCTGGGAATAATGTCAGAAAGTAGGATGGTCATGGATGGCTCATTTATCCCCATTAGTCTGTTCTTGTATGGTTAGAAAGGCTCTTAGAGATCTGCAGCTACCCTTAAGAGGTAACATCTTCTCAATAGGTAATGGAGGGAGGGTAGGGGAAAAGGAGAAGGAAGGACAGTGGAATGAATCTGACAAAATATTTCTGTGTACACATGAGAAAACATAACAGTGAATCCCATCATGGTGTACATCCACAAGAATGGCATCCTAATTAGAATAAGATATATTCCATGCTTGTATAATAATTATATTAAAAGGGATCCTACTGTCATGTATAACTAAAAAGAACCAATAAAAAAAGAGTATCTCTGAGAAATTCAGTCAATGCCTTTTGAAATGAAAATTGATGAATCATTGTTTGAGCCAGCTAGAAAACACAATTTATTTTCTATGCCTCAAAAGGTGACTTCATCAGGAATATCTGAAGCAGTGAAAAGAGAGCACTGATATTTTCTACTTGCTAAAAATGTACATGTATGTAATTATTATGGTGTTCGTAATGTGCATGTCACAATCACTGTTCTTCCAACTTTTTGTCAAGTTATGTTCCTTTTAACTTCTCTAAACTTAAAAACTCCAGTGTTGGGTTAATGGGCTGGAGAGAGTGGCCAGGTGATGCCGACTGACAATCTAGATCTTCAACTTGAGACAACAAGAGCAGGAGGTCATGCTCCTAGTCTATTCCTTGCCATTCCTTGACCTAGGGTGATGGGCAGGTAAGATGCGGTAGTGGTGACTGGGCCTTCCACCACACAAAGCTTTGGTATTTATTGTGGCTCCTTCTCCTGATTGGAGATATAACATTAGATCAACAAACATGTGTGGAATATTTATTGACCTTCCAACATTTGGCTGCCAGCATTGTTTTTTTTGTAAATTTCAGATTAATCGAGCCCCAAGCTTCGGAACTGATCAGAAAATAGACTATGATGTAAAAAGGGGTGTGTTGCTCAATGCACTGAAGCTACTAAACATCAGGTAAAGTATTTCCCCCATTTGTTGGAACTTTTCCCATAGTTGGCATAGGTAAATCACTTGTATATGAAATTGGCTTGTAGTCATTTGTATTTTTTTACTTTGAATTTTTAATTTCATTTTTTAAACCCATATAGTTTTTAAAAAATATTTTCCCCTTCTTCCTGTAAACTCCTTTTCCTCACTCCCATTCCCATATAATACTCTACACCTGCAGTAATTATGGTTAAATTATAGTAAGTACTGGGAATATAAAGTCTCCTATGATTCCTAGGTTTCTGGCTTGGATTGTTTGATAATATGTCATTCATTGAGATAAAGATTATAGCAGAGTTATAAATGGGGAGGAGTGATGGAAGAAGAGAGGGCACAGAAGGGAGAGATATAATTCAATTTTAAACACACTAATTTTTTATTTGTTCTAATTACTGTATATGAGAATAGAATGCATTTTGACATACATAAATGGAGTATAACTTCTCATTCTTCTGGTTGTACAGGATGTAGGATCACACCGGTCATATAATCATATATCACATAGGGTAATGATGTCTGATTCATCCTACTGTTCTTCCCACCCCTATGTCCCCTCCCTTCCCTTTACTCCCCTCTGTCTAGACAAAATACCTCTATTCTTCACCTCCTCTCTTATTGTGAATTAGCATTTGCATATCACAGAAAATATCCAGCCTTGGATTCATTGGGATTGGCTTATTTTGCTTAGCATGATATTCTTCAGCTCCATCCATTTACTTGCAAATGCCATCATTTCATTCTTCTTTAAGGCTGAGTAATATTCCATTGTGTATGTATACCACATTTTCTTTATCCATTCAACTGTCGAAGGGGGCACCTACGTTGGTTCTATAGTTTAGCTGCTGTGAATTGAGCTGCTGTAAACGTTGATGTGACTGTGTCATTGTAGTATGCTGATTTTAAGTCCTTTGGGTATAAACCGGGGAGTGGGATAATTGGTCAAATGGTTGTTCTATTCCAAGTTTTCTGAGGAATCTCCATACTGCTTTCCATAGTGGTCACACCAATTTGCAGCCCCACCAGCAATGTATGAATATGTCTTTTCCCCTATGTCCTTGCTAACTTTTATTATTGCTTGTATTCTTGTTAATTGCCATTCTGACTGAAGTGAGATGAAATCTTACTGTAGTTTTAATTTACATTTCTCTAATTACCAGAGATGTTGAACATTTTTTTCATGTATTTGTTGATCGATTGTATATCTTTTTCTGAGAAGTGTCTGTTCAGCTCCTTAGTCCATTTATTGATTGGGTTGTTTTTTAAATTTTTTTTAATATCTCCTGGAGATTAATGCTCTATCTGAGGTGTATGAATATGTTAATTTTAAGATGATTTGAGACACAGAGGTAGAATTGTTAAATGGTAAATTTGATACATAGGGACTCAGGAGGTAGAGATATCTGATTGACACTCATGTACAGATTGCAGTTGATTCTAATGAATAAGATCAGACAGTTGGATTCTGTATTTTAAGAACTAAAGAGGGGCAGAGTCAGAGCACCGAGAGATACTAGCATTTGAAGAGATTTTTATAAGCTCTGATATTCTGATCAGATAGTTTCCATACTATAAGACAGAGTTTAACTCCTTTATATTACATACAAGGTACTTTTTGATCTGGCCCTTGCATCTCTCTCCAACCCAATCATTTCTTGTTCTTTTTTCTCTGCCTTGGGATTGATTTTTCTAAGAACTTTTTTGTGTTGTTCTCATTAATATGCTTTTTCACTTTCTTACGTTTAATATTCATGCACCTTTGTCCCTCTGGTGAATGTCAAATATTTTTAATTGTGGTAAAATATAGTTAGCGTAAAATTTACCATCTTAACCATTTTTAAGTGTACAGTTGAGTGGCATTAAGTACATTCACAGTATTATGTAATTATCACCACCCTGTGAGAACTCTTCATCTTGCAAAATTGAAACTCTACACCATTTGGTCCTAACTCCTCATTCACCTCACCTCCTAGTTTCTGGAAACCACCATTACACTTTTGATGAATTTGAGTGCCCTATTTTTATCTCATAAGAGTGCAATCATTTGGTATTTGTCTCTTTGTTAGTGGCACATTTCACTTAGCATGGCTTCAGGTTCATTGTAACTTGTGTCAGAATTTCTTTCCTTTTTAAAAAAGTCAGAGTAACATTTCTTTGTATGTTGTCTTAGATTGTTTTCTGAAGGGATACCTGACACTGGGAAATCTATAGACAACAGGTTTACTGAGGTGACAATTCTAGAGATCCAAAAGCATGGAGCAGGCATCTGCTCAGCTTCTTGTGAGGACTTCATGTTGCAGGGTAGAAAAGAGCAAAGAAAAGAGAGGCATGCAGAAGAGCACATTTACAATAGTGAATCAGGAGAGGCTGATCTGTTTTATAAACAACCATTTCTCGCAGTAACTAATTCAGTGCCATAGTATCCATCTCAATGCTGCAAGGCTTAATGCAGTCTCAAGAGAACTAACCTAGTCTCTGTAGAAAAGTATTAATCCATTCCTGACAATGGTGCCACAATGATGTAATCACCTGACACTGGGTTCTACCTGTTAAAGGTCCCATCACCTCTCAGTACTGTTAAATTGGGGACCAATAGCACATGAAATTTGGGGGGAAATATCATAACCAAACCGTAGCATACATATTGATCATATGTTTGTAAACTCGTTCTTTTTTTGAATTTTTAAATATTTTTAAGTTTTCTGCGGACACAACATCTTTGTTTGTATGTGGTGCTGAGGATCGAACCCGGGCTGCACACATGCCAGGAGAGCGCGCTACCGCTTGAGCCACATCCCCAGCCCCTGTCAACTCATTCTTAAAACCTTGCTCAAGCTTAATTTCCTGTTTGAAGCCTTTATTAAAGTATCATGGCTCACTTCTCCCTTTGTGCTATCATGATACTCTCACTTTGCATCCATCTCCCCACTCTGTTTAAACTGTCACCTCCTTGAGGGCAATGGCTCTATTTCTCTTTGCTTCTCCTGGGCTATATCTACAACTAGTATAGAGTGAGCAGTAAATATAATTTGGGTTGGAAGACAAGCCTAGAGGAAGGACATTTCATTTAAGTTAACTACTTGTTGAAAAATAGGTAAGTGGAAAGACAAAGCAAAGCATGTTCATAAATCTTCCAGTATTCTGTACTTCTGCAGCATGGAGCAATATGAGACAAATGGTTAGAGAAATCCCTTGGATGGATTCACAGGGTAATGAGTAGTGGGAAGGAATCAAGAAAGTCATGAACAAAAATTTTTAGGACAGTGTATGGACATAGTTGAGTAGAAAACTGCTGATTAAAATGCTAAGTGAATCAGAATATTTCGGTCTTTGGTTAAATTTTTTTCTGGTCTGTGAAGTAAGTGCTGAGAGTCATTAGGTCTAACTTATGCCTGTAGTTATAGAAATGCAAACCAAGTTTTACAATGACAGTATTCTAAAGGCCAAATGTAAAGAAAATGATCTAATTAAAATATCATTATCATCTTAATCATAGTTGCAGTTCAAGAGCTATCTTGTAGTACTGGTATTATAGTCTGATTTGTGAATTAAAGATTTAATTTTCCTGCTTATTACTTTGCTATTTTTTAAATGAAAGGCCATATAATAATAGTAATTTAAAAAAACTCAGTGTGGTTGTCTTTTATTCATTTTTTAATGTGTCTGAGAGGACTTCTGTGTGAGCTTGTTTTTGTTACTTTTCTGTTCATATGTGTTTGAGCTGTTTGTGTGTCAGTATCCTTGACTGTCAGAGTCTTGTTTGCTGTGGATGGCATCTAGGTCTATGTTTATTTCTTTTCTAGCATATTAATTAAAATATCTCATTCCTTCTGTATTCATCTTACTTTTCTTTTTCCTTTTAAAAATTTTACTTCCTTTTCCCCCCCTCCTTATTTTCTGTTTGGTCTTTTCCCCTTTATATTGTTTTCACTTTTTCCTTTCCCTCTCCTACCTGTAAACTGCATTCTATATAGAAATGATTTTTCTATATGAAATGGAATATAAAAAAAGATCAAGTATCAAGAGCTACCTCAACCACTGCATTACCTCTTCCATTCACTGAGAAAACTTGAAGACAAATTGTCTTCATCATTGGAAAAATGATATTCATAATTACCCACTCATGAAAATCAGAAATTTTGGTATGATTATGAGTTTATTCCTTTTCCTTATTCTGCACATTGAATTAGTCACCAGAGCATTCCCATTCTTTCTCTAAAATATTCTTCTAAACTCACTCTTTCTTTAACACGCTGCTTCCCTGGTCCAGGTCTTCATATTTCCTATTGTTAGTGAAATAGTATCTCATCTTCCTACTTCTGTCCTCATCCTCTTCTAGGCCACCGTACACCACACATACTGCCAAGGCCATAGTCTTTATTTAACATATGCAAATATAATTATACCCCTCTTCTTTAAAAATTCATGTCTTTTTGATTGCCTAAAGATAAATTTGAAACTCAGTAACCTAGTGTTAACTCCTTATGATTACCTGAGTATCCTGCATTCACCTGTGGGTCCAACTGTACTGAATGGTTTCCAATGTTCTGGATATGTTTGTTTATTTTCTCGAATTATTTCTTTTATCCTGACCACCTGTTGAATGCCTACCACTGAAGCTTCAGTGTTGTCCTGAAAGAGAATGGATCAATTTCCTAGTACTCCTACAAGTTGGGGTTGTGAGGGAATGTATACTTGAGGCAGTAGCAATTTCTTTACTGTCCAGAGTCTTGATCTCATATTTTCCTGGAAATCTTCTGATGAATTGAATGGGACCATATGTGAACTTAAGCACGTCTTTTACCTCTCCACGGCAGAAGGTGGCCAAATGATATTATGTCCAGTTCCTTTTGATTTGCATCCATACCTGCACCCTGCCAAGATAATAACAATATGAGGCATAGGCATATAAGCTCTGTTTTTCTCCCTAAGGCTGAGGGCAGAATTCGCTATGATTTTCCTTTATTCCTGAATTCCACCCTGTTCTTGAGAAGTCTTTCAGGGGTCATATGTAGGAGTACAAACTGGAAGAGTTAGAGAAGAGACCTCAGACTCATTGCACCAGACAAATGGAGGGAAACAGGAAAAAGTGTCTCAGTGGAAAATATTTTAGGATTGGGTTTCTTCTATAAAAAACAGAGACTTATAACTAAATTTTTATGAATAAGCCAAAAATTAGAAAGAATGTGCAATTTTTTCAAACAAATAATGACTGTTAGGCTGGAATTTCAGTCATAACTGAAAATGTGCTCAGGAGTGGTCAGTATAAATGAGAGTGCTTAAATATAAATAGAATTGGTTGAAGTGGGAGAAGAGAATGACTAGTTACCTATTAATAGCACCACAAACTGATTTTTATAAGATCTCTAGGAGGGAAACATTATTATTTTTAATAAAAAATATGTGGGAAATAGACTTAGCACTTAATTGACCAGTGTCAGATTGTATAGCTGCTAAGGTGTTAGTATGGAATATCAAACTGGGACTCTCTGACTCTTGAAGCAAGCATATAGTATTTCCATTTTATCTTGGTATCATCTGTTTACCATGCAGAGTTCCATATTTGGTGGGTGATTAGATGAATATATGTGAATATATAAAATCAACTTTTATTTCAATCTGCACTCTCTGTATATCTACAAATGCTCCTCATAGGAATAAGATCGGAACTTGTTTGAATTCTAGCATATGGTCTTGTGTTTCGTATTTTAGGACCAGTGATAAAAGGAGAAACTTGGCCAAACAAAAAGCTGAGGCTCAAAAGAGGCTTTATGGTCAAAATTCAATAAAAAGACTCTTACCAGGTTCCTCAGACTGGGAACAGCAGAGACACCAACTGGAGAGGCGGAAAGAAGAGTTGGTATGAACATTTTAGCAATGTACCCACAATTTCAATTGCATGACTCCTGCATTGGGTTTTATTTGTAAACTCTTTATTTCTAGAAAGAGAGACTTGCTCAAATACGGAAGCAGATTTCAAGAGAAGAACATGAAAATCGACATATGGGGAATTATAGGTAACTTTGCTGCCATTTTTGTATGGACTGAAGGAAGTGAAGTGTCAAATAATCATTCTATATTTTTAGACCTTTTATGCTTACTTGAAGTACAGTTCTTTTCATTCTTAGAATGTGCTTTTTTGCTTAATATCTTTAAAGGAAGAAAAGGTAGTCAGCTAGTGAGCAAGTAGTGGTTCAGACTTGACAAATCTCCTGCCAGCTCTCCTTCCAACAGGCCTGTGGAGGGCCTGTGGGGAGTCTTTTTAATCAGCCATTCTGGGCCTGGATTTGGTTATTATACACTATTTTAAGAAAGTGGAAATTTAGGTTCTAATAGTTTTCTGCCAACTCATAGTGGTTGCTGTTCTTTAAACTCAAATTCTAAGGAAATGGAAGAAATAAGAAAATATTTGAAGAAGTCAGGTAGAGACAGTAGACAGGGTTTGGACTGTGTTAAACTGGTACCCCTCATAGTATCATCCTTGACAAGGATCTCAAGAGGCCTTTTAAGCTCCTGTGCTCTAGGAAGGTTGTCCCTCCTTCCCAGCTTGACCTTGCTTCAATTGGCATAAGAATGTATGGGCATAGAGTTTCTTACAGGTGTCTTTCCTGTTCTTAGCACCCACCTCCTTAGTAGTGAGGGGAACACATTCTTCCCAACCTACCACTACCTAGTCTTCACTCCATCACCCCAAAACAAGCCATTAAGACTGATGCTGCATTTTTGCATGCTTCCGTCACTACATGAAGTCAAAACTTCCCCAGTATTCCTCATCATCTGAACACTCTCCCACAAAGTTCTGTGTTTTACCAATTCAACCAATTGCAGTCACTTTCTCTGAAACAAACCCTTATATCTTATCTTCTGGAACTACTTTGTGTAATGATACTTCTCTAGATAAGCATTAATTTGTATGGGTAACACAAAAATTTGTGAACTTCTCAAAACTATCTTTGTTTCTAGCAGTTATCAATATTAACTAGCATGGAGCAAGAAGGCAATGATTTTCTAAACAATTATCTTAACTACTGAGCTGTGATTACTTCTTTTAAACAAATTGGGTTATCTGATTTTTTTTTTTTTTGTAGACGAATTTATCCTCCAGATGATAAAACACTGCTTGAAAAGTATGAAAATTTGTTGGCTGTTGCCTTTCAGACCTTCCTTTCAGGAAGAGCAGCCTCATTCCAGCGAGAGCTGAATAATCCTTTGAAAAAAATGAAGGTAAGAGATGAGCATTGATACAGAGAAAAAAGGATGGAACCTAATAATAGTGTGTCTATAAAAACAGCCCACCTTCATCCTCCATGTGAAAGCACTATACTGTGATTTTATAGTGCACTTTAGGCTTTTCATTTTAACAGTTGGTAGTGTTTTACTACAAAAGGGACTTCATCAATAAGATGTCTAACAGGACAAATTATGGAGTAGAGAATTTTGATATAATATTGTAATTATCATATGTCAAGAACATTCTTATTACACAGATTTTTTTTTTGTATAACTGGATAAAGAAATCCATTGAATTAACTTTGTGGTTTGTGACACTCTTGTTATTTGGATTATAATTAACACCATGCAGCATTTTTTCTTGATAATATATATATTATCTAGTATAAGAGCAAGTAAACCATACACAAACACACACACACATATATACACACACACACACACACACACAAATACACACGTTTACCCTAATAAAAGGTCTATTAGTTGTCTATTTGCTTGCTCTTTGTTCTGCAATATTTCTGGGGGCCATTGAGTGGTTCTTTCACTGGTCTTGCCTGGAGTCAATCAAGAAATATTCAGATAAATGTTTCTTGCACTCACTAAGGGCTAGAATTCCAAGGTGGTTTCACTCATGTATTTGGTACATCAAATCAGATAGCTGGAGTATCAGGGAGCTGACTGAGTGTGTCTTTCTCTTTATGTGGCCTCTCAACATGGTAGCCAGATCTCTTAATAATAGTATCTCAGTGTTTTGTTCCAAAAGGGAGTATATTAAGGGGATTCTCTGTCTCCCAGCAGAATCTCTTACTTGCCTATGATAGATCTGATTTTTGCCCACATACGCTCAGTCTTGGCAAAGGACCCAAAGTAGAAAGTGGTAATTCATCTTTGTTCATTTGGGAAGAACTTACCTTTCTCTGGAATTTGTTCTTTCACACTATTTTTTAGCTATGGCTTTCTGTTTTAAAAAATCTGTTTAGTTCATCAGATATTTTTTGGCTGCTGCAATGAAAGCATTATCTGTTGTGATCTTTCTTCTGAACAGAAGCAGAACTCTGTGGGATCTTTTTTAAAATGCTGTTATCCACGGAATTCATTATAGGATTATTATTTTGTCAAAACTATAATGAGTCTTTTGGTGTTTTATTAGCTAATCTTCCGTAGATTGGGATGAAGAATAACTTATTTTAAAAATTTCTCTTGTATAGTGAAACGTCTGTATTTCAAAAAACATTTATGGGGAAGTTGAAACACAAATCATGAATATTAAATAAAGTTCTGATTTTTATAGGTGGAAAATAAGTAACAGTGAAGCAGTTGATTAAACCTCTTTCAGTATAGCTACTTCTTTGGTTTGTTCAACATCCACTGGGGTGTATGTTTATATTTTTTCCTTTTGACTTCAAAATGTCTCTGTAAGAGCATAAGAGACTGGTATTAGGGTGCTTCTGGATTGACACTCTCATTAATGCCTGTAGAAAAAAAAAAGACACTTCATGAAGCCCTAAAAATACTTTTGTGCAGGGCTAGTGTTGTGGCTCAGTGGTAGAGCACTTGCCTAGCATGTGTGAGGCCCTAGGATTGATCCCCAGCACTACATAAAACTAACTAAATAAAAGTATTATGTCCATCTACAGCTAAAAATATTTTTAAAAATACTTTTGTGCAATATCAAAAATTTATAAAAATTTTCATTAAGTGTTGCCAAATACTAATATTAGATTGATTATAAATGAAATTCTTAGTATAAGCACCAATTTTCTGTCTGGAGTTTTAGTATTTTTTGGAGTAATTAGTACTGGAATGATTAATTGAAGTTATAGTCTAGAAAATTCTGTGCTTCCAGAGATTTGAGTGTCCAAAATGCGCTAAATTATTGAAGTACTATATTCTAAGATTTTAATAATATATCATAATAGAAGGAAACATTTGTTTATGATAATTATTACTCAATAGATTTCAACTATATATTATTTGCATTGCCAGACTTTAGTGAAAGTTTCAAGAGAATTTGCCATAATCCTTTAGTTCCCCTTCTTTGATCTGAACGATCTTCACTAAGTAGTTTTAAAAGTGCTCCTTGTACATTATTTTATGGAGATTAATGAAGTTGGAAAAATTTTAGAGTCCATTAGTGATCATGATTTAAATTAAAATGTTTTTTGAAGGAGGAAGATATTTTGGATCTTCTGGAACAGTGTGAAATTGATGATGAAAAATTGATGGGAAAAGCTACCAGGCCTCGAGGACCAAAGGTGCAGTATTTCAACCTTCCCGTATGTAAATGCTACCACGTGCAGCTGGCTTTCCCTTGATATTTCTCATTTTAAGAGTGGTGCCACTTTGAAGGAGCACAGGTGGAGTTGGAAAGATGGTGCTATCTCACACTCAGGAGTTTTGTTTCGTTTCCTGTTTCTTGGCTTTTTCCCTAGTGCTAGTGAGAACCTTAGGAGTCAGGCTAAGAGGGTCCAAGAACTAGTGTTCTTATTCTAAAGTCACTATTAAGTTTTCTTTTTATCTTTTAGACCAATAATTATCAAGGAAACATGTAGCATTAGAGATAAGAAAAATCATGACCCTGAAGACTCATATTGATAATTGAGTCAGCAACAACAATAGTGTTTTAATAAAAGTAAATACAGATCCTAGGAATAAATAATAAGGTGTCATGTAGGTAAGAAAGGGCAGGAGTTTGCTTTACATGCATCTGCTCTGTTGTGGTGACATCTATATGTTTTTATGACATCTGTTGAAGTTTTTGCTAGTGGAGAAAGAGTTGAATTTGAAAAATCTTGGAAACATTTTTCATCCTGTTTCTTTTACCTTGTATTTCAGCATTACTAAACTATGTCTGCATGGTCAGACAGTCATGCTCTGTTGTGCTGTCATGCTTTTTCAAGCCTCTGGAATGCCTGCCTACAAAAAATAAATAAATAAATAAATAAATAAATAAATTCATGATTTGATGCTTGATTGGAGACCCTTTCCTAATCTGCTGCCTTTGTGAGACCTGCCCTCTTTCTCCCAGTTGACACAGTTGCCCTCCTTCTCTTGCTATGCCATAAACAACACTTTACAGAGCAGTTATAACAAATAACTATTTGCCTGTTGGCCTTAGTATAAGGTGGTTGAGCTCCTTGAGGTGGAAAGTACATTTTCATCTTTTATCTCTGCTATGTAACGTTGCCTGGCACATCATAAATTCTCAAACTCTGTTAGTTCAATTTGTTAAATATGTTCATAAGGGCTTCTTTGGCAAGTGGAAGATCAGATTGATAAACCCCAAAGCAGGAGACCATGTAACAAATATGCAATAGAGAATGTAAAGTGCTACAGTGGCATAGAGAAGCACAGGATCAGTAGCTATAATGGGAATGACCTCGTAAAGACTTTGCTGTTTTTAACTAGATTTTCAAAAATGAGAAGTACTCCACACCTTTAAGAGGGGTGGAAGAACATTCATGGTAGAGGGAAACTTAAAGGCATAGATAGACTTGACGGTGTGTTATAGAAACAAGGAAAAGTTTGGTATGACTCAAGTGGAAGGTTCTTGAAGGGTGAAATGGTATAAGATGGGTCTGGTGAGAGATCATATCTAAGTAGATTTTTGGAGGACACTTTCTGATTATCTGCTCTATTTTTAGGCACTGTGGAATAGGTAGTTGAAAATTCCTTTGGAATAAACATGGAGTTATTTGTAGAAATGAATACCTTCATAAATCTTGGCTTTATTTTGGGAAATATTGGGAAGTTTCTAATCTTATGTATCAGTTATTGCAGTTTGGCAAATCATACACCAAACCTCCTGGGGGTACATGACAGAATGGCAAATGCGAAAGCCCCGAGGTAGTCAGACACTGTTGTTTCCCTCATATAAGATTGGCCATCCAAACAAAAGTACAACTTCTTGTAGGGCAGAATTCACATTGTGTGTGTGTATACATAATACGCACACACACACACAAAAAAAAAACTATATATGTATATACATAAATAATATATATAAAATACATATTTTGGGTACTGAGGATTGAATCAGGGACACTTAACCATTGAGCCACATCCCTAGCTCTATTTTTTTTATTTAGAGACAGGGTCTCACAGAGTTGCTTAGTGCCTCACTTTGCTGAGGCTAGTTTTGAACTCCTGATCCTCCTGCCTTAGCCTCCTGAGCTGCTGGGATTATAGGGTTGTGCCGCGTGCAAAACATTGTATATTTTTTAATCCCTTTCATTTTAGGCAAGTAGTGGGAGCTAAAAATGTATTTGTTGAAATGAAAATAAATGAGCATATCCTGTAATTGTTAAAGCCAGCAGTATCTCAAAGTTGAAAGCTGCATAATTAGTTTGAAGTAGAAGCATTTTTATAACTTTTATGTTTATGTTTTCAAGGGTCTAAATGGAGCAAACTTCAAAGCAAATTTTCCTTTTTAGAGGGCTGATACTGTGTGCCAAACATTGGTCTCTCTTTTTTGGAGATGACCAAAGTTAAATAAAACTTTCATTTGTATCAGGAGGAATACTAACTTTTTTCTTATTTTAGAATTTAAGAAATATTAATTAGTAACATAAATAATAAATGCCACATATAATATCAGCAACCTCCTTCTTAAGCTGGATGGTAAATATATGGATATTTATCTTATTATTTACAGATATTTTACATAAGACTGTTTTTATAGTAAAATTGCACATACAGATAAGTAGTATGGTTTGAGTCATAACTCAATGCCTATTTCCAAATTCCATTTTAGAGTTGAGGCACTAATGAAAGTTTATCCTGCTGTGATTTCTAATTAATTACTTGAACAGTGTCTTGGTCATAAAGTCCCAAATGCATATATGACACAAAGTTTCAGTGGTATTTTTCCCTATGGTTCTTCATAGTGTCAGACAACTCATTATGTAGTCAGGCTCCTTAAGAAACCTTAAAATGCTTGCTGCCTGAGGGAAGGTACTTCTAGCAAGTCCAAGTGTGCTGCTGTTTCTTCTGTGTGTGCTAAATCTTTGGAGCAACATCCTTCCCCTAGAGATCATATTTCCTAACATTGTCAAAATGTTTGATGATTGTGTTACTGGTAAATGTTTTTATGCACCTCTCTTTGAACATTGTTAGTGCTCAGTGAAGATTAAACTATCAAAAGGAGAACAAGTGTTGAAATACAAGTGTGCCTTGGTGTATTAAACCCGTTTCCTGCTTTGGTTATATTTCATCCTTGCGAAGCCTGTAACTTTAAGAAGCTCATGCTTTGGCTTACTATGTATTCCAGGCACTTCACGAAGTGCCATTTCTCTGCCTTTTATCCTACAGGATTACACTGGAGAATATACTTCTTTTCAGTGAAATCCCATGGTATGCAAGGATTTCATTATCATGTATGCTAACATCAAAACCTCTTTGTTTGATTTAACACAAGCCTCTCGTATGCAATGGCAGGAACCTCTCCCAGAGGAATAGGAGGCAAAGTGTGTCTGTAACAAATTGTCTGTTAAAATGACTGCATCACAGAATGGTCCTGTTCTCGGTCCTGTGCATTCCTTCTGAAGTGATGCTGTCCCATGCCTTTTTCCTGTAACTTCAGCTGGCATCTTTGGAAACTCATTGATTGGGAGGATGGGAAACAAGCGATTCTGATGAGATCCTGAAACATACTAAGAGGACGTTTTAAGTCTTTACAGATCTACCTACCCTTCGACCTAGGTCCCATCCTCTAAAAATCTCCATGTCAAACTGATCTTCACATTATTATCATTTTGTAAGCTGTAGCACTGACAATAAAAAGAAGCATGACTCCCTTATGGCCAGACTGGGATTGTCAAAGTAAGGAGTCCTCCGAGAAGAGACATGAGGTATTCATGACCCATTTGGGAAATAGATAATTAGCTAAAACTTTTCATTTTTATATATGAAAAGGGTTAGGGGGTATAGCTCAGTAGTAGAGTGTGTGCTTAGTGTGCACCAGGATCAATTCCCAGCACCAGGACTAATATCATCCACGGCAAATTAGTACCTTGCTCCTTGTTGTGCCTAGGGCTCTGTTTTAAGATGTGGCCTTACTTATAGAGGCTTCTCTGGTTGTTGCTTTGTGCTCTCTTTGTTCTTCTTCCTTTGCAGCCTTTCTCCGTCCACCCCCACATTTATTGAGTGACTTGGTATGGAATGAAGAAAAGCCAATTACCTTTGTGAATTTTGATATCTTTCTATCATGTTTTCCCTTAGTTTTCTTTTTTTTATTCTTGTTTACAGATACTTCTGGTCTTTGTTATGATCACGTAGAAACATTTTTCATGACTGAGCTATATTATTTAAGAAAGCATATTTTGCAGGAACGACAATCAGTGAGTGCTCTGTAGGCTGAGCAGTCTACAGCAGTAGCCTTCAGTGAAAAGCAGCAAGTGAAGGGGAAATTAAAAATAGCAACTAATCATTTTAATGAGCCTTTTGAAAAATTCTAGCAGAATAACACATTTGCCTCTGTTTCAGCTTCTATGTTCTATGCCAGAGAGTTCCGAGGTAATGAAAAAGCAGAAGTATTGTAGCAGCGACAGCAGTTATGAGAGTAGCGGCAGCTCCTCAGAATCTGACGAAAACGAAGAATACCAAAATAAGAAAGGAGATGAAGAGCAAGTTCCATATGATCTTAAGCACTCCAACCACTGCAAATTAGTTCAACAATCCAGTAAGTCATTTTCTTCCAAGTTAACTAAATATATGAAGAATTAGGGAGTTGAATTTCAACTCAATAAAAGGTCCTTGGGCCAAATGAACCCTTGTGTGTGAGAAGACCTGGATTCTACCCCATTTTCTTCCCTACCTAGACTTGGGCATATACATCCATCAAGCCCTGTCAGGTTCTGCAAATAGAAAACAATAGGCTTACCTTAAGGATCCACCCATCTATATTTCATGGTTTTTAAGTATTGCAGTTTTGCATGGGTCTTTCAAAATGTGCCTGACGACTCATCTGCTGGTTATGGTTTTTTAAAACCCATGTAGTCATTTTCCACTTCCCCCTCTCCTGTCACCCTCTTTGTTTGATACCACCACCTATTTTTTAAACTGTATGTATCCCTCTAGGCAATTCACTTGAATGTATCTGTGAGCCACACAATTGTGAAATAGTAGAAGTTTTGTTCCCTCCTATTTTCATCACAGGTAAGCACTAAATTCAGGGCTTTTGGTGCATAGGAAATATTTAGGAAAGCACTCAACCAACTTCTCAGTCTCCTTCTTTTTATGTTTCCTTTTCTCTCTTTTTTTTTCACATTTCCCTTTCTCCTATCTTTCATTCCTTCTTCGATCCCAAGTGCCTTCTACTGTCCTTGTGATTCTTCTTTCATCCACAGATGTCCAACATAACTGATCTGCCTCCAATCCAGGACTTTATTTTTAACACCTGTCTTTGATATGTGATTATGTTCCAGTATGCACTGTTTGCCTAGTGTTCCATGTCGAAGGGTTCTTTTAAAGGGACGACGCGTTCAGTTATGCAGTAAACAGAATTGTGAGCCTTTGTCAATCTCTAGCAATGGCTTAATATGTTAAGTCTCCAGTAATATGGATATCTCCAAACTGGCCTTGCATGATTATGGCAAAATCCATGTGGAATGCAGAATAGATTTTAGAGGAATGGTCTTAATTTTACTTCCAAATTATTCCAGAAAGTTACATCCTATGACTGCTCTTTGAGCATTTGTATATTTGGAAATAATGTGTTTTATGTTCTGTATCATTTGTTTAAGGGGTGTTCACCGACCACCTCTTCCAGAGTTTGTAAGCTATTCTACCTCCTTTTTTTCTTAAGGATTCCTTAAGTACTTTCAATGTGTCTTCAGGTAAAAGCCTCCGTTTCTGTTTTGGAAGTTGAAATTTTCCTGCCCAAGTGTTGTCAGTTTTTGCCAGCTGCTCCTACTAGCTAATTGTCTCTCCATAATAACATCAACTAGTGAGGGGTAAAGGAAAGGTAGAGAAGAAAAAAATTGCTGGGGTTCTTATGAGCTCTGAAATTCTTTTTGATTCTCAGACCAATAGATTAAAAAATTGAGATAAGTACAGTTGTGTACTAAAACAGGGTATGGGTTTAAAAAAAATGTTTTGAATATAAATGTTCATTTTAAACTAGCCCAATTCAGTTACAAATCTTTTTCCTTATTAGTTGTATTTTCTTTTATACTCAATTAGGAATTATAACAAGGGTTTCACCTTGTTTTATATTCTCTTTAATCTTACACATTGTACCAACAAATTCTCCTAGAGTTTTGTCACTGAAGTGATGCAAATAACCAAGACATCATCCTGATTATATGTAGCACTATAGTTAACTTGGGAAGTTCAGATTTGTAATGGTTTCAGAGGGCTATGTTTTGGTTTGATCTGAGGTAATCACATAAAAAAAACTATATAAAATACTTTCCTTACATAATTTGTGGAAGTTACAACCATTTTTTGTTAATCTACCAAGTGTCATTGGGGTGTTCAGCTGTTTTAGTTTTTCTGTATGAATTTTCTGTGTTTGCAGTTGAACAATGGGAATCTGTAATACTTTCCCTCTGCTTTGTGACAAATTATACACATCCACACCATCGCCTTAAGCTCTGAGGTTAAGTGATCAGGACTCTAGTGTAGTTAGTAGGAAATTATTTGGGATATTTTCTTAGTAGAAGCTTGTTCTTTGTACATAGTAAATATGTCCAGTTCTTTGTAAAAACAAAGAAAGATGGGCTGACCAGTAGTTATTCTCTAGAAGCAATGTGTTTTGCTGGCTTTTCTTTTTTCTTTTTAGTACTGTACCACTGAGCTACATCCCCAGAACTTAATTTTTTTTTTTTTTAAAGATTTTGAGACAAAATCTCACTAAATTGCTGAGGGTCTTACTAAGTTGCTGAGACTGGCCTTGAACTTGTCATTCTCTTGCTTCAGCCACCAAATCATAGGGATTACAGATATGTATCACTGCACCCAGCAAAAGCAATGTGCTTTATTAATTAATTTATTTTATTGGTTCTTTTAAGCTAAACCTGACAGTAGAATTCATTTTGATATAATTATACAAGCATGGAATATATACTGTTCTAATTAGGACTCCACTCTTATGGATGTACATAATGGTGGGAGTCGCTATGGTGTATTCATATATGTACAAGGGAAATTTATTTTGGATTCATTCTGCTTTCTTTCCTTTCCCTATTCTCCTCCCTTCCCTTTATTCCCCTTTGTCTAATCTACTGAATATGTTATTCCCTTCTCCCCTCTTATTGTGGATTAGCATCCACATATCAGCGAAAAATTTGAACTTTGGCTTTTTGGGGCTGGCATATTTCAATTAGCATGATAATCTCTAGATCCATCCATTTACTTGCAAGTGTCATAAAGTAATTCTTTATGGCTGAGTAAATACTCCCTGGTACCACATATACCACATTTTCTTTATCCATTCATCTGCTAAAGGGCACCTAGACTGGTTCTATAGCTTAGCTATTGTGAATTGAGCTGTTATAAATATTGATGTGTCTGCATCACTCCAGTAAGCTGAGTTTAAACCCTTTAGATATATACCAAAGGGTGGGAAAGCTGGGTCAAATGGTAGTTCCATTCCTAGTTTTTTTTTTTTAAGGAAACTCCATATGGCTTTCCATAGTGGTTGCACCAATTTGCAGTCTCATCAGCAATGTATGAGTGTACCTTCTTCACGTTCTCACCAACGTTTATTGTTGCTGCATTCTTGATAATTGCCATTCTGACTGGAGTGAGATGAAATCTCAGTGTAGTTTTAATTTGCATTTCTTTAACTGCTAGAGATGTTGAACATTTTTTTCATATATTTGTTAACCATTCTTTTTTCTTCTTCTGCGAAGTGTCTGTTCAGTTCATTTGCCCATTTATTGACTGGGTTTTTTTTTTTTTTTTTTTGGTGTTAAGCTTTTTAAGTTCTTTATATATCCTAGAGGTTAACACTCTATCTGAGGTGCAGGTGGCAAAGACTTTTTTCCCATTCCATAGGCTCTCTCTTTACATTCTTGATTGTTTCCTTTACTGTGAAAAAGCTTTTTAGTTTAGTGCCATACCATTTACTGATTATTGATTTTACTTCTTGAACTGTAGTCTTGTTAAGGAAGTCAGTTCCTGAGCCAACATGTTGGAGTGTTGGGCATACATTTTCTTCTAGTATGTGTAGGGATTCTGGTCTAATTCCTAGATCTTTGATCCACTTTTAGTTGAGTTTTATACAGCGTAAGAGAAAGGGGTTAAATTTCATACAGCTACATAGGAATTTCCAGTTTTCCCAGCACCTTCATTGAAGGGGCTATCTTTTCTTCAATGTTCATTTTTTTTTTTGTGCCTTTATCTAGTATGAGATAACTGTATTTCTGTATTGTCTCTGGGTCTTCTATTCTGTTCCATTGGTGTTCTTGCTTGTTTAGGTGTCAGTATCATTCTGTTTTTTATTACTGTCACTCTGTAGTATAATGTAAGGTCTGAGATTGTGATGCCTCCTGCTTCACTTGTCTCAGGAAGGATTGCTTTGACTATTCTGGGCCTCTTATTTTTCCAGATGAATTTCATGACTGCCTTTTCTATTTCTATGAAGAATGTAATTGGAATTTTGTTGGGAATTGGGTCGAATCTGTGTAGTGCTTTTGGTGGTATGACCATTTAAATTCTTTTTTATTTGTTCTATTTTGTTATACATGACAGTAGAATGCATTTTTGACACATCATACATAAATGGAGTATAACTTCTCATTCTCTTGGTTATACAGGATGTGGAGTTACACAGGTTGTATAATCATATACGTATGTAGGATCATAATATCTGATTCATTCTACTATCCTTCCTATACCCATAACCCCTCCCCTCTGTTTACTCCCCTCTGTCTAGTCCAAAATATCTCTATTCTCCCCCTGAAACTTATTTTGAATTAGCATCTGCATCTCAGAGAAAACATTTGGGCTTTGATTCTTTGGGGTTGGCTTATTTTGATTAGCATAATATTCTCCAGTTTGATCCATTTACTGACAAATGCCATAATTTCATTCGTTCTTAAGGCTGTTTAATATTTCATTGTGCATATTTACCAAAATGTCATTATCCATTCATCTGTTGAAGGGCAACAGATGGTTCCATAGGTTAGCCGTTGTGAATTGAGTTGCTATAAACATTGATATGGCTGCATCACTGTCGTATGCTGATTTTAAATCCTTTGGGTATATACCTCAGAGTGTGTCAAAGGGTGATTCCATTTCAAGTGAGTCAAATGATGGTTGCATTCCAAGTTTTCTGAGGAATCTCCATACTGTTTCCCATAGTGATTGCGCCAATTTGCAGTCCCACCAGCATGTATAGCATTTTGATAATATTAATTCTGCCTATCCAAGAACATGGTGTGGGAGGGTCTTTTCATCTTCTATGGTCTTCCTCAATTTCTTTCTTCAGTGTTGTGTAGTTTTCATTGTAGAGTTCCTTCACCTCTTTTGTTAGGTTGATTCCCAAGTATTTTATTTTATTTGAGGCTACTGTGAATGGGATAGTTTTCCTAACAAAGAGAAATGTTTGGGTATTTTGACTGATTTTATAAAATTATTTAATTAATGAAGATTGATATATTCCCCAAGGGGAGGTGGGGCGGAGAGAAGAGAGACAGACTAAATGAAACAGAGGTTATACAGAACTGATGAATTAAAAAGAGATTAAAAAAATATTGATAGTATTGAGTGATAATCTGTTTCCCAGAGTCAACAGGCACATTTTATCAGGAACAATTGGATCTCTTTCTTATATATTCTCAGTGTACATTGGAGGAAGATATTCTGTTTTTTTTTTTTTCCCTGAATAGTTGTTCTGGTAACAATTCTATAAATCCATATGTTTTCTTCATTTAGATTTTTAACTATTAAAATTTAATCTAATTTTTATTCACTTCTGTAAATAAGATTGTTTAGTATTATTTTATAATAACCAATTATATATTTAAATTCCATTAGAATAATCTTTATATTTTTCTTCTGCTTTATTTTTTCTTCAAGGGCCTATATTCTCTAACTTACATATTTATCCTGAGTGTTTTCTAGACTCCTTTCCTGTCCTTCCTACAAATCTTATAATAATATTCAATCTCTAGCTTATGCTTAGGTTCTAATAAGTGACCAGTCTTGTCCCAAGAATGGTAGATGGCATATCATGATATTATAGAAAGAGGGAGGCCATTGAATTTGGATAGGTAAAGATTTAATCCTGAGCTTGCCACCATGTTGGTGTGTGTCTCTTAGCCTTTGGGCCATTAGGATTATTTTCTTCAGGGGACTTCTGTGAGCATGATATACCTGGCCTATAGAAGGTGCTCCATCACTGTTAATTTCCTTTCTTCTAGTTCTTTTATGTAATGTTTTGAGAACATAACATTAAAGTACTGTTTATAGTGTTATCCCATAAGAGCCATTCTTTGCACACTAGTGAGGTTCTACACCAAATTCGTTGTTTAAATTTAAGAATCAACTCCAAATTTATATTTTCATGATGATGTCTGTGCTTTGACATTTACCGCCACTCTACTGCCACCTAGTTTGATCTTTGGTTTATAAAGACTTGCTACAGGGGGAAACTTCTACTTACACCACTACTATACTTCCCTCTTTTCCATCATTGATAGATTCCATGAGGCGGTCAGTCAGTTGCCCTCGGTCCATCTCTACTCACTCACCTCCCATGGGGGACATTCGCCCTGTTTCTGCTCAACAAGTGATATCAATATCGCGGCCAACTTCAGCATCTCGGTCACATTCCTTGAATCGTGCTTCCTCCTACATGAAACAGCTCCCTCCTGGTAATGAAGCCAACTCTGCCAACTCTGAGGTGGTAAGTCATCTGCTTTGCCTTTTCAGGATTTGAGACTGTACTCTGAATCTTGGTGGCAAAGGGAATCTGCTTCAAGGAGAACAGGTTGAGCCTCAAATCCTTTCTGTAGTTCAATTCATGACCTTCTGGCATTGGAATTACTCATCTATTTTAGGATACAACTTAGAATGGACTTTGAGAATACAGACTTTATCACAGAACTCAAAGATGAAACTGAGAATAGCATTATTTTATTTTCTACTTGCTGATGTAGTAGGATAATATTGTTGAAAATCATCTGAATGAATGTATGGTTTTGTAGTATGTTATGTAGTCTGTCTGTAAATTTCAAAAAAATTTGTTATATAGAAAATTTCACTTACCAGGACTATTGATTTAATAGATTGAAAAAATATTGATAAGTTCTCCTTAGCGCACTTAAGTAACAATCTTGTTTATAACATATATGTTAGTGCTTCTTAGAGCAAAGTACAATATTGTTAATATTGAATATATATGTTGTTTATTATGAATATATAAATTAACACACAACATTCTCTCTTTAGCATGAATTCCATAAATTTAGAATTAAATAAGTCAGTGAATTTATTTTGCAACCAAGTACCTTCATATAGATCAGGGATTTAATTAGTTCATTTATTTATTTAATGTTGTTGTTTCCAAAGAGAAGATGAATTTCTTTTGGCGATGATGACTAAATATTTTTTCTAATTCACAGTTGTCTAAGGTATATGTAGCAAATGAAACTGACCAGGAAGTCATTTTTAATTATTCATTTTTTTATTTTAGTTCTTTGAGTAAAATAAAACATAACCATGTAGAAACATGAAAGCTACCCTTGATATTTATATCCATTTAATGACAAGAATTTGTAAATATAAAAATTATATTTTTCCTTTTATTATTATTTTTCAATTAAAAGTGCATCATTTTTACCTAGAAATATCTTTCAGATTATACTGGCACAATGAAATAAGTCCCCCTCCAAATATCTGTATTCTTTCAAATTTAAGAGTGAGACTTTGCGGCAGCTGAAAACAAAAGAACAAGACGAAGATTTAACAAGTCAGACCTTATTTGTTCTCAAAGACATGAGGATCCGGTTTCCAGGAAAGTCAGATGCAGAATCAGAACTTCTGATAGAAGATGTGAGTCTTTGATATATTTAAAATATCAAGGAGCATTTATTTATTCTTGAATAGTAAAATTTATTTACTGGTAGCATTATATCTCAATGATATACCAAAATTAATGGAGCTTCTTTTCAGCTTCTAGAAGCTTTACAAAATATAGGGAATTGTTTTAATTATTATGATTCAGGAACAGCAAGACCTCATTTATAATCAACAATGCTCAGTATATAGTCCTATTTTAATAACTTTCATCAAGTAAAAATAATTAGCATTAAATAATTATTATTCCTAGTGATTAAAGAAATATCACATTAAAATCTTTTATTAAAATTTAGATCTGAGATGTGATGAAAAAAGTGGGGCCCTGACATAAAAAGACATTTTGAGTTTCACAGTTTTTGGTCAAATTTTGAAATAGCGTATGCTGAATTGTGTTTTTCTTTCTACATGCACCTTTGCACCATCTAGTGGACCATTATAAAATGGCAAAGAATCCTGAACACTTGAGAGTTGACTTAACATCTCATTCATGAAAGGTCAAAGTTATTAAGATATTTTTGGTGAAATAGCATTTTCTCACTCAAGTTTCCATTTCTTTATTCAAGCATGCTTTTCAAATGGTTATTCTTAGATAATTCCTCTGTAATGAAACATTGTTTGCTGGGATCCTCTTGTTGGGGGAAAGGGGTGTGGGGGAGGGGGATGTTTTGGTTTTTACAGAGAACTAGGCACCATCTAGTGGTCAACTGTAGAATAAAAATCCACACTTGGCCTTTTTAAAATTTTTAGCATTACTTTAGGCCTAAAGCAAGTATATACAAACAAAAACAAAAAACAATGAAAAAATCTTCTTTGGTTTAAAAAATACACAATAACAATTTATATTTAGTAATTATGACATAATTACAAATTATCAACCCCAAATATTATGCATTTTGTTGATATATATTACTAAAATGGCATCTTGTTTGAAGTGAGGTGATACATATTACATAAAAGAAAAGGGAAGAAAAATAGACACTGGAAGTAACGTATTATGTTAGATATAGTTTTTATTTATGTACACTATCTTATTCAATCAAGTTCTTTTCTAAGTAAAGCCAATGACTTTGTACTAGACACTTATCATTTTATGTATTTCTTAGAGATATTAATTATATTTTGCTGCTTTGAATCAGAAGAAAACTAGACAGTCATAGAGTAGAGCTAATATCTGTGGCTAATGTGACTGTTCTATAAAGAACCTATAAAGGTTTATATAATTAATAGTTGACATAAGATTGCTACATGTTCACTATATGCAGTTCTTTAATCTGTTTGCTATAGTATATATTATTAGGCTATATATTTAGAAATTCTGTAGATGTATACAAAAGAAAGAGATAGCAGAATCCTAATTAAATATAAGCTGCCTTCTAATGTATTATTCAATATTCTATTACTATGGATGATGTGGTTATTACAGCCAGGGGTATAAAGATAGAAAATCTATGTCTTGGATTTCTTCTCAAAACATATGTGCCTGAAGACTTCTGCTTTCCACTCATTGTAGATTGTGTTATTGGTACAACAAGAAGAGACAGCTGTGGATTCAAATACTTTCTATACCTCATGTTGTAGGTCTTCACACATGTCTTTTTCTGAAAGTTGTCATTCTTTATTATGAGTGTTATTATATTGCTTTCATCCCACAAATTAATTAATAAAATTGTCTTTCACCCCTTTATTTTTCATGTATTATTTTCAATGAACATTCTAGAATAAATTCTTAATGTTTCTTCCCCCAAACAGATCATCGATAACTGGAAGTATCATAAAACAAAAGTGGCTTCATATTGGCTCATAAAATTGGATTCTGTGAAACAGCGAAAAGTGAGTAGTGCTCAGGAACAGCTCTGTCCATTTGGATTGTGTATTAAGCCAGGGTCAGTTAGTCAGATAGTCAGATCTGTACACGTTTGTTTACTCATTTCCTCACCAAGTATTCAATGAATACCTACTATGCTAGGCATTGTTCAAGATTCTGAGGATTTAATAACTCGACTTTAAAAAGCCATGGGCTACATTTTTGTATTGTATCAACATATGCCCTAATTGTTCTTGGTCTCACTGGGGTGCCTCCTTCCTCTAACAATTTCTCTTGCTCGGAGGCTAACAACTTCAAACCTTGAGTCAACCATTTTCCCCAGTTTGCCTGAGAAAGTTCTAGGAACAGGCAACTTGAAATAAAAACAAAATAAATCAAAACAATAACACATTGTTTTTTGAAATGTTCACCCATTCTTTCTCTCTTCCTCAAGGGTGAGAAATTTCACTTACCTCTGAGCTTCAGAAGTTCCCACAGTCTGGCTGGGCACACAATCACGAGCCACCACACAGCTTGTAGATTCAAACAGCAACTCTTTATTCCCAAACTCACACCAGCCGTCTACAATCACGATCTGGGGAAATCCACGTTCTCTGCCCAAATCCACACGCACTGGGCTTCTGTCTCCCAAAATATATTGTCTAAATCCCGTGAGAACTCAAGGGGAACTCAGGCAGCAGGATATGCCCTATTCCCAGCAGGAATAATCTTTTTTTTTTTTTGGTTATTTTATTTATTTATTTATTTATTTATTTTTTAGAATACAAAGTTTTAATTTTTTTTTCTTTTTTTTTTAAATTTTTTATTGTGGGTTGTTCAAAACATTACAAATTTCTTGACATATCATATTCCACACTTTGATTCAAGTGGGTTATGAACTCCCACCTTCACCCCATACACAGATTGCAGAATCACATCAGTTACACATCCATTGATTTACAAATTGCCATACTAGTGTCTGTTGTGCTCCGCTGCCTTTCCCATCCTCCACTCTCCCCCCTCCCCACCTCTCCCCTCCCCTCCCCTCCCCTCCTCTCTCTCTACCCCCTCCACTGTATAACCCTGAGGGTCTCCTTCCATTACCATGCAATTTCCCTTCTCTCTCCCTTTCCCTCCCACCTCTCATCCCTGTTAAATGTTAATCTTCTTCTCCTGCTCTTCGTCCCTACTCTGATCTTAGTTACTCTCCTTATATCAAAGAAGACATTTGGCATTTGTTTTTTAGGGATTGGCTAGCTTCACTTAGCATAATCTGCTCTAATGCCATCCATTTCCCTGTAAATTCTATGATTTTGTCATTTTTTAATGCAGAGTAATACTCCATTGTGTATAAATGCCACATTTTTTTTATCCATTCGTCTATTGAAGGGCATCTAGGTTGGTTCCACAGTCTTGCTATTGTGAACTGTGCTGCTATGAACATCGATGTAGCAGTGTCCCTGTAGCATGCTCTTTTTAGGTCTTTAGGGAATAGACCAAGAAGGGGAATAGCTGGGTCAAATGGTGGCTCCATTCCCAGCTTTCCAAGAAATCTCCATACTGCTTTCCAAATTGGCTGCACCAATCTGCAGTCCCACCAGCAATGTACAAGTGTACCCTTTTCCCCACATCCTCACCAGCACTTGTTGTTGTTTGACTTCCTAATGGCTGGCAATCTTCCTGGAGTGAGATGGTATCTTAGGGTGGTTTTGATTTGCATTTCTCTGACAGCTAGAGATGTTGAGCATTTTTTCATGTACTTGGTGATTGACTGTATGTCCTCCTCTGAGAAGTGTCTGTTCAGGTCCTTGGCCCATTTGTTGATTGGGTTGTTTGTTCTCTTATTGTCTAATTTTTTGAGTTCTTTGTATACTCTGGATATTAGGGCTCTATCTGAAGTGTGAGGAGTAAAGATTTGTTCCCAGGGTGTAGGCTCCCTATTTACCTTTCTTATTGTTTCTTTTGCTGAGAAAAAACTTTTTAGTTTGAGTAAGTCCCATTTGTTGATTCTAGTTATTAACTTTTGTGCTATGGGTGTCCTATTGAGGAATTTGGAGCCCGACCCCACCGACTGTAGATCGTAGCCAACTTTTTCTTCTATCAGACGGCGCGTCTCTGATTTGATATCAAGCTCCTTGATCCATTTTGAATTCACTTTTGTGCATGGCGAGAGAAAGGGATTCAGTTTCATTTTGTTGCATATGGATTTCCAGTTTTCCCAGCACCATTTGTTGAAGATGCTATCCTTCCTCCATTGCATGCTTTTAGCCACTTTATCAAATATAAGATAGTTGTAGTTTTGTGGATTGGTTTCTGTGTCCTCTATTCTGTACCATTGGTCCACCCGCCTGTTTTGGTACCAGTACCATGCTGTTTTTGTTACTATTGCTCTGTAGGATAGTTTGAAGTCTGGTATCGCTATACCGCCTGATTCACACTTCCTGCTTAGCATTGTTTTTACTATTCTGGGTCTTTTATTTTTCCATATGAATTTCATGATTGCTTTCTCTATTTCTACAAGAAATGCCGTTGGGATTTTGATTGGCATTTCATTAAACCTATAGAGAACTTTTGGTAATATCGCCATTTTGATGATGTTAGTTCTGCCTATCCATGAACAGGGTATATTTTTCCATCTTCTAAGATCTTCTTCTATTTCTCTCTTTAGGGTTCTGTAGTTTTCATTGTATAAGTCTTTCACCTCTTTTGTTAGGTTGATTCCCAAGTATTTTATTTTTTGTGAAGATATTGTGAATGGAGTGGTTGTCCTCATTTCCATTTCAGAGGATTTGTCGCTGATATACAGGAATGCCTTTGATTTATGCGTGTTGATTTTATATCCTGCCACTTTGCTGAATTCATTTATTAGCTCTAATAGTTTCCTTGTAGAGCCTTTTGGGTCTGCTAGGTATAGAATCATATCATCTGCAAATAGTGATAATTTAAGTTCTTCTTTTCCTATTTTGATGCCTTTAATTTCTTTCGTCTGTCTAATTGCTCTGGCCAGTGTTTCGAGAACTATGTTGAACAGAAGTGGAGAGAGAGGGCATCCCTGTCTTGTTCCAGATTTTAGAGGGAATGCCTTCAGTTTTTCTCCATTCAGAATGATGCTAGCCTGAGGCTTAGCATAGATTGCTTTTACAATATTGAGGTATGTTCCTGTTATCCCTAGTTTTTCTAGAGTTTTGAACATAAAGGGATGCTGTACTTTGTCGAATGCTTTTTCCGCATCTATCGAGATGATCATATGGTTCTTATTTTTAAGTCCATTGATGTGGTGAATAACATTTATTGATTTCCGTATATTGAACCAGCCTTGCATCCCAGGGATGAATCCTACTTGATCATGGTGTACAATTTTTTTGATATGTTTTTGTATCCGATTCGCCAGAATTTTATTGAGGATTTTTGCATCTAGGTTCATTAGAGATATTGGTCTGTAGTTTTCTTTCTTTGAAGTGTCTTTGTCTGGTTTAGGTATCAGGGTGATGTTGGCCTCATAGAATGAATTTGGAAGTTCTCCCTCCTTTTCTATTTCCTGAAGTAGCTTGAAAAGTATTGTTATTAGTTCTTCTTTAAAGGTTTTGTAAAATTCTGCTGTATACCCATCCGGTCCTGGGCTTTTCTTAGTTGGTAGTCTTTTTATGGTTTCTTCTATTTCCTCAATTGATATTGGTCTGTTTAGGTTTTCTATATCCTCCTGACTCAATCTGGGCAGATCATATGACTTAAGAAATTTATCGATGCCTTCACTATCTTCTAATTTATTGGAGTATAAGGATTCAAAATAGTTTTTGATTATCTTCTGTATTTCTGAAGTGTCTGTTGTGATATTGCCTTTTTCATCCGGTATGCTAGTAATTTGAGTTCTCTCTCTTCTTCTCTTCGCTAGCATGGCTAAGGGTCTGTCGATTTTGTTTATTTTTTCAAAGAACCAACTTTTAGTTTTGTCAATTTTGTCAATTGTTTCTTTTGTTTCGATTTCATTAATTTCAGCTCTGATTTTAATTATTTCTTGCCTTCTACTTCTTTTGCTGTTGTTTTGCTCTTCTTTTTCTAGAATTTTGAGATGAAGTATGAGATCATTTATTTGTTGGTTTTTTCTTTTTTTAAGGAATGAACTCTAAGCAATGAATTTTCCTCTTAGAACTGCTTTCAATGTGTCCCATAGATTCCGATATGTTGTGTCTGTGTTTTCATTTATCTCTAAGAATTTTTTAATTTCCTTCTTGATGTCTTCTATAACCCATTGATCATTCAGTAACCTATTGCTCATTCTCCAAGTGATGTATGCTTTTTCCTTCCTTCTTTTATCGTTGATTTTCAGTTTCATTCCATTATGATCAGATAAGATGCATGGTATTATCTCTACTCCTTTATATTGTCTAAGAGTTGCCCTGTGACATAATATATGATCTATTTTTGAGAAGGATCCATGTGCTGCTGAGAAAAAAGTGTAACTGCTTGATGTTGGGTGGTATACTCTATATATGTCAATTAGGTCTAGGTTATTAATAGTGTTATTGAGTTCTATAGTTTCCTTATTCAACTTTTGTTTGGAAGATCTGTCCAGTGGCGAGAGAGGTGTGTTGAAGTCTCCCATGATTATGGTGTGGTGGTCTATTAGACTCTTGAACTTGAGAAGAGTTTGTTTGACGAACATAGCTGCACCATTGTTTGGGGCATAAATATTTATGATTGTTATGTCTTGTTGGTGTATGGTTCCCTTAAGCAGTATGTAGTGTCCCTCTTTATCTCTTTTGATTAACTTTGGCTTGAAATCTATTTTATTTGATATGAGTATGGACACGCCTGCTTGTTTCCGAAGTCCATATGAGTGATATGATTTTTCCCAACCTTTCACCTTCAGCCTATGTATGTCTTTTCCTATCAAATGCGTCTCCTGTAGGCAGCATATTGTTGGGTCTTGTTTTGTGATCCATTCTACCAGCCTGTGTCTCTTAATTGGTGAGTTTAAGCCATTAACATTTAGGGTTATTATTGAGATATGGGTTGTTCTTCCAGC